GCCCCCCTGTTCTAACCGCTTTCCCCGTTCCTTTTTATCAAAATCACTCTCCCGGAATATCTGAGGAGTGTGACGGTTAGAAACTAGTACTACTCAAAATAATTTATTGGTACTTGTTTATCATCTCCCGCTTTTCCGCGGTCAACCCTACTCTCGGTTTTGACCTGGTGCGATACCCCCGGAGATCAACGAGCTCTCGGGGCAGATAGCAGAGGGCCCACACATCGTTACATACCAATGAAATACCCAATACTGGTATTTATTTAAATAATGCTGCTTGAGTGGCAGGCACTTGTGGTGGCGCCGATCAACAGAATTTTGAAAAAAAAAAAGAAGTATTTAGTCTAGACAAGCCACGGTGAAGTCCTCCTGGCAAATGTTACCGTTTGTAGCATGCACTTTTCTAACCAACTGGCTAAACGATGCACGAAGGGCGTGTCCTTCGAACCACTCGAGCGTTCCACAAGTGCTTCTGTACCAATTCAAAAGTCAACACTCCTTTCAACACTCGCACCCTTCTTTTCCTTGATTACTTTATTCTGTTGACGATTGGAGGCACTGAATAAACAGCGAAATCTTAATTGCCTTTAGTATTTTATAAATGGAAATTTAGAAACAAGAGAATATCTGCTGTGTCGCTAGAGAGGAAGTTGTTAGAGGGAATCGAAACAAGTAGTGAATGATTTTTAGGAGAAATCGACAGGGTTTGTTCCTTAAAAATGCGAAAATTTCGTAATTTTTGATTTATTAAACGCGAAAACTACGGAAATTTATGAAAAAAGTAGGTTTTTCTTGTGAATAATTCACGAATTTGTGACATATGACCTATGCGAATTTTTCAATATGACCTTTACTTCATGAGCCATTACTTCATGCTGTTGACAATTATATGCAATCATGGCGATCTCGATTGCCCAAGATGTTTAATCTGAATATCAAATAATAATCAACAATAGTTATCAAGTCCATGTGACATTCTGGTATACGCATAATCAATTTTTCTCCATTCTTGTACGGCTAGGAAAAAATTCGAGTGCCGGCACTCGAAATTTTATTGTAGAAAACGTGAATTTTTCCTCGCATTTCTGTGAAAATTTCACAGGAATCCCCTGAAATATTACCTTAATTGCACTAGAATTTTTCACAGCCGATCTATTGTGATTTCTTCCAGTGCTCGTACTAGAATGTTTCTAGAAAATTTCTCTCCGTGTAATATTTTTTTCTATGCGGGATGAAATAGCTATTTTCGTCACAAGGTCTAAAAAATCTTCTGACGAGTGTGAGTGTTGCAGACCGAGGCGAAGCCGAGGAATGCAATCACACGAGTGGGAAAAATTGTTTTCGGCCGAGTGACGAACATAATTTTTCTTCACAATATCCGTAAAACGACGCTCTACGGACACTTCGTGTCCGTCAAACGCGGTTTTACGGGCAGTGTGACGAAAGATGGAGTTCGACATTCGTGGGAAGTGTTCTTTGGCCCTTGGGCGGGCCACTCGGCTTCGGCTTCGGTTACCACACCTCCCACGGGTCAAAAAATACTTTCCATTTACAAGTAATCGAAAAGGCACATTTCGCCACAAAGTCAACGCAGCAGCAGTGACAAAAATGATTTTCCATCACTAAAAACTTGCTGCGTTTTTCCCCCAATTGCCCCCCCCCCCTTTCCAAAGCAATAAATTCTTCCTTAAAAAATTGATAACAATCCACTTCCTCACGTCCACATCGATCCAATAGCCATTCGCAAATCCATGTAACACGCATGAATGTTTTAACGTTATCATTTTTAATGTGTTAGTTAAAAAGATGTAGCGTATCTTATGAACGTAGGCGTTATAATACCCCCTAAAGGCACGTGCCACCATTACTGGTTGGTACACTCGGTTGTAGTTGACGGGTAGCGTCTTAAAAAATTATGCTTTCATTTGCGGCTAACTCGAATGAATTATGTCACGATCCGGTCATTATATATCACGAACGTGTTATTTCGTGGTATTTATTTCCGGACAAAGCTGAGAAGACCCGTCGTTCCTCCGCTCTTTTTGTTTTCTTCCCTGATACGATATTTTCACAACCAGTAAATACGCGAGGATGAATCTCGTGGAGTTGATGAAAAGAACGGATTAAACTCCTACGTACGTAATTCGCCTAGAAATTCCTCGTAGTCTAGTTCAATGAGCGACTGAGGGGTTCATAACTCGCGAGACTCGCTTGTGTCGTCATCGGGCCAGTTGGTAGGAAATTGAGGAGAAGACGGAGAAGAAAAAATAATTTTTTTAAGAACAGAAATAACTCCAACAATGGGACAACGATGAAATGGATGTATCGGGAATTCTGAAGTACGGAAGTCGGTGGGGAAAGGAGAATAGCTGGGGCAAACGATGTCATCCATCATTTAACGTCTGGAGGGATAATACAAGAACAGTGGATGAAACTCGGTGGAGTGACGACTCCAGCTGCTTCCGAATTAATGAAATACTCCCTCCAATTGAATCCTCAAATTCTTTATAATTACCTCATGGTGATTCCCCATTGAAATTTCTCTAATTAAATCCTTTTGTTTCTCAATTCAAGTGTACGAAAGGCTGCGCAGCATGGGAACAGGCACTCGAGACGAGTTGTCAGACAATTTGCGTGAGTACTTAACAATAGATTTATTACAATAAATAATTGATAGACAACTCTCATTGAACCCTCAATTCATTGCTGCGCAGAATGGTACACAAGAGCTCCTGCCGCCGAAGGAGCTCTACTGCGTCCTGGGATGCCACGACGCTCTCAACCGTTACTTCCAGCAGCTCAAAGGTAAGTGAGCACCTCAAAAATCCGCGAACTCCTCCGCGTAACGATCCTCAGACCCAACAACAATCTCCTCCTCGTCGTAACGATCGAAGTTGCTGTCATCCCCGGCATTTTTGCACTTTGGAACATGAGAGGGCTCAACTTTCCGGTTGTAAATTTGATCCCAACTGATATCCCGAAACCACAAATGTCGTTTAATATCCAAGGGGCCATCCTTCAGGTTTCCATAGCGTCTCGTGAGGTCTACTTGAAGAATATTCCTCAAAATATCTCTCAAATCGTCGCTGAAGTGACTAGGGCACTTGAACTTTCCCGACACTATCTTCTCGTAAATCCTCATGGGATCGTGCGAGTAAAACGGCGCATATCCCGCATTCATCTCGTAAATGAGAATTCCATAACTCCACCAGTCGCAAGACTTGCCATATCCTTTGGACAGAATAATCTCCGGCGCCAGGTACTCGGGAGTTCCGCACAATGTCCAGGTCCTTCCCTCAATCATCTTGCAGAAGCCAAAGTCCGTCAGTTTGAGGTAGCCATCCTGGTCCAGTAGAATATTCTCCGGCTTGAGATCTCGATAAACGAGTCCACAATAATGCAGATACTCCAGAGCCATCGCCACTTGAGCTGCGTAGAACTGCGACAACTTTTCGTCAAACTTTCCCATTTTTCTGAGATGCGAGAACATCTCACCGCCGTTTATGAACGGTAATACGATGTATATGAATGAATTATCCATGAAGAAGAACTCCATGGAGACGACAAAGGGGTACTTGATTGCATAAAGCACTTTCTTCTCGTTCAGTGTGTGCTCAACCTGCTTCATCTTCACGATTTTCTCCTTCTCCAGAGTCTTCATTGCGTAATACTGGGACGTGGGTTTGTATTTGACGAGTAGAACTCTTCCAAATGCACCAGTCCCCAGTGTCCGCACCCTCTCGAAATCATCGAATGCTTCATTCCCCTTTTTGTGCTTACTGGCTTTCCATCTCTTGTTGAATGAGACCTTCAGTCCATCGAGAATGGCTTGATACTCGCAGAAGCTCGGTTTCCGGACAGAAAGAGATCCTGGCCCTCGAGAATTGCCTCCACTCTTGGGGCTGCCATTTGCCCGCGCACTTGATCTCATAACGATTGGCTTTTCAAGTTGATGGGATTAAGCCTGAATACAGCCACTACATCAGAATTGAACCGGCGATAGTCCATTGTTATGGCGAAATATATAAAAAAATTGCGAGTGTGTCACTGCTGGAGCCATTTGTGATTGGAGTAGGTGAAATCATTTATCCAGTTAAGGCTACACGGGACTCGCAATTATACTGATGAATCGTTTCCTCAAAATGATCGGAGTGCGAGATACGTTAAGAGGGACAATGTGTGTTTTTACAAGAAAAATGAGAAATGTTGGATGAGCGACACGAGACTCTTTGTTTCATGTTTATGTAGCGGAAATTGGTGGCACTGAGGCCTTGCTGCCCACACACTGACAAGTGTCTGGGGACATTCGAATTAATCAATCGGTTTCGGTCTTTTCAATTCATTCATTTCGTCTCATCTTCTGTACTTGTCTGTTTTTTTCTTCTCCCAACTGTCTTGGCGGATCCTATTTTGATGCCAAAGGTGGCAATATTTGCAATGGATGAGTTATTAGGCAAGAGAATTTAGTGGTGCCCCCTCACGTGTGCGGCCTTTCTGATACCAAGTCTACCACACGCTCAATACTCTCTCTTCTCTATAATGAACAGGAGATCAATAACAATATTTCTTATTTGTCACTGAAAATGTTCGATATCCGGTTCCAAAGTGCATCAATCATTCAATTTCCATCCTCTTGATTAATGTGAATTGCATTAGAATGGAGAATATTATATTGGGAATGAGAACGGTGAATCGCTTAATCGATCTATCGTGTTAATATGCGCGCGAGGCGCGCATTCGATCTCGCGTGAATAAGATTAACGAGTTGATGTGATCAAAGTTGCCGGAAATTGATAGAACTATTGATTACTCGCTGTTCGCTCATTAACAAGTGTCGGGGGAATTCAAATAAAATGATCCATCCCCATTTTTCCATTGATTTCTTCAATTCCTACTCCTGTGATCTATCTATTCCACTTTTTGATTGTTTTTTTCGTGAATGAATGAAATTTTGGAATTGAAATTATTGAATGAAACTCGGCGGTAGATACGTTCGACTTCGTCGAGGAAGTTCGGAGGAATGATGTGCGAGAGAGAGTGTTTTCGAGAAAACAGGAAACGTGGAATGAACGACACGCGATGCTTTGTTACTTTTTCAGCGGAAATTGGCGTTCCACCGGCCCCGGCCCTCGTGGCAGACTCATTGACGGCAACGTCTCTGAGACTCGAGTGGAAAGGCGTTGATATCAAAAGACGAGCTATTGGTATCTCTTACTTGGTGCAATGGAGGTACGAAGAGCTCGCAGAAACGTGGCAATACTGCAGAAATCAGTCGTGGGGGGAGGATGATCAGATTTTAGTTGAGAATCTTCAACCTTATACCAAATACAGAGTGAGTAGCATAAGATCTTGTTCCATTTCTATCAATCCCAACACGTACAATTCAATAACATCTAGAGCATTCGTCGGGAAATTCCATTGGATTTCTATTACACTTCTATTGAAAAATCCATGCAGATTCTATGGGAAAGTTCAATAGAAAATATTGCATATAAAAAATCCACAGACTTTTATCTTTCGTCGTTCTATAAATATCCTTCGGCTACAATTTCCAACATTTTTTAAATTTATTTTTTGAAGGGAGAAGAATAAAAATGCAGGGAAAATGACTGAAAATTTACGTCGCGCAATTCTCTATCGAAAATATCTTCCCAGAATAAGTTAGATACAAAGATTAATATTCATTGATTATTTCCATAAATGATTTCGTATTAAAGCAAATCAGAAAAGCTACGGAACTTCCCAACAGAATCGGCGAAAAACTAATATAATTGGCAATTGAAATCCAATAGAATTTTCTGAAGATCGCGTTAAGGATATCCAAATATTTCGGCTATTTTTTCTCCAGTGAAATGCTTTTCTTTTTTAAAAAATCTGAAAAAAACGTGAAAGTTCATTTAAAATTGATTAAAAATTAGAATCTTTAGGACGAAGATTCATGCAATAATTACCAAATTGCACTTTTCGAAAATTCCGATAAATAATTCACAACCAATCGATTTTCCGCCATAAAAATCATTTGTTCGGAGTCGTAAAAAATTTATCCACATTCATAAAAATACCAGAAGTCGATTCCATGCCTAAAACAATGAGGTTTCCGAAGTTTTAAACAATTTCAATCATTTGGACTGTAAAAGATACTTAAATTCAGCAATAATAGACCACTCTTTTCATCATCTCTATCGACTCTGATTTCAGTTTCGCGTAGCATTGCTATTAAAATCATCCCAGCACAATCCTGAGCCAATAGTATCAGCTCCAAGTGTTGTTATATTGACATTGGCAGCTGGTAGACCGACCTCAGCACCAGTAATTGTAAGAGCAGCAGCAGTAGACAGTTACCGTGTCTCTGTATCATGGGAACCTGGCCCATTTCCCAATGGTCCATTATTATCCTATGTATTGCAATTACAAGGGGCTAACAACGACTCCCTTAACAAGGTACACGCCACGCCAGAAAAATGAAAAAGAAAAACCCAAACGATAAATCCTCACGTACTCTATCGAATTTCTCTCGTAGTCTTTGAAGTAGCCATTTATGTAACTCCTCAGTTCACCATTTCGCACTTCTTCTTACTGTTAATACACTCTTTTGCTGCACTCGTTTATTAATTTGATTTAGTCTATTCATCGAGTCGCTGAATGCTGGTTCGGTAATCTGCTTTGTGAATTATTTAATTTAACGCTGTCTAGTTGTGCATTGCTTTGCATGTGTCTGGCTATAATTTTTTTTATTGGATTGAATGCACTAATACAGACACAACCGAACCAGACAAGTAGTTCACTCTGTGCGTTTCTGGCATGGCGTTTCTGCCCTTCGTCTTTCCTTCTAACAGGGGATAATACGGAATGCCTGAGATGATTTGCGGTTCATTAAATAATTCCTAATGGGTGTTTTTCGTTTTATCGTCGCGTTCAGGATATTCCAGCGCCTGACAACACCGACCACTACATGTTTCAAAATTTGAAACCAAATCAGAATTACTCGGTCAGTGTCTCCATGAGGAATGCCATCGGCGATGGACCACCAGCAGTTATTTACATCACTACGCCATCGGAACCAGCTGGTATGATTAAAAATATACGGTTGGAAGAATAGGGTGACTAGAAGTCTAGTTGAACTCGTTTTCTAAAAAAATAAATGAGGGGAGAACAGAACAAACGCAATGCGCAGGGAGAGGTTTCGCTTTCGAAACGGCGGCGCGGGGAATTCGGATTAGAATCCGTCATTGTTGGAAGTATTTCGTGATTAATTCAATGAGATGTTTTAATATCATGCGATTAAGATCCAAGTTGTGGAATAGTGAATTAAGGAACTTACTTGGGCTTTTATGGGAAAATTTAGCTTATGTTTCTGGATCGAAAAATAGGGTAATAATGAAAATTAAAAGGAATCTTAACAGGAGAAACAAAATACGCACGGAGAGACTAAGATTTTTCACTCCGACCAGTGAAGAATACACGCATGAAAATATTTTATAAGAAATCCTAACACTACGTTGGTCGCGCTATGAGCGATGTGCCGCACTTTTTCCAATTTTTGAAATTACATTGCAGTAATGCCTCAGAAAAATGTGAAAAAATTTTAAATCTCATTTTGAATTGTCTAGAAACCTTATCAATGAAAATTTCAGTTTTCAAAATTTCGTTCAATGGGAAATATTTTACAGAAAATAGTTATAGAATTTGATTTTTCTGTACAACCTTCTGTAGAAATTCTTCGATTCAAATTCTCCAAGTTCTTTTATTTGATTTTTTTACCCCTCGATTACTCGCGCTCGTCCGTTAGCTTTCATCTGTCGCACGGTTAGCGCAGCGCCGCTGGGTAGGAACTCTAATGATTTCAGAATTTTTAAGCGTCGTGAAACACGCGAAAATATAAAAAAACGAAAACGTGCGGCGCCGTATTCATTGAGCGAGTGACCGAACGTTAATCAGAGGAGAAAAAAATTAATTGGAAAAAAACTTGGAAAATTTACGACGAGGAATGCGCATAGAAAATGTCTCAATAAAAAAAGTTGCACAGAAGAATCAAATTCTCCTGATTTTTACAAAATAGTTTCTATTGCAAAAGCTGCGGAATTGTTCCAGTAGAACTTTCCGCGAATTAACTAGATTTTTCTGTTAAAACTGAGTTTTGAGATTAATTCACCTATTCCATTCCACCTTTGCAGTAAAAGACACTCAACAACCAATTCTGATCCTCGGCGGCGAGCACGTAGTCCTAAAACAAGGTGCAGACATGTTGGACGAGCCGAGCGTGATATACCGAGCAACAAGTAAAATTCGAGGCGTAGCTATTCACGTGGCCTCAGCCCAATTATTCCTATCGGACTCAACGGGCCACGTATACCGCACCTCGATATTCGAAACGACCGAGCCGAAAGTAATTCTCCGTCCCGACCAATCGAATTTCAAGCCGCTGAGCCTCTCAGTCGACTGGCTAAATTCCCACTTATACATAGTAGGTGAAGTTAATCACGCGACAACAGTCTGGCAAATTGCGCGCTGTACGCTGGATGGAAGAGGTTTGACAGTGGCAAAGGCTGGATTTATGACCAAGCCGTCCCACATCGAGGTTGACCCGTACAATGGCTATCTTTTTTGGGTCACGCGGGGGGGACTATTCCGATTAGATCTGGCGGACATCAGCAATGGAATTAAGCACGAGGTCCAGCCTTACTTGATGCTGGAGGACAGGCATCTCGGGGCCTTCACAGTGGACCACACGAATTTTCGGCTTTTAGTTCCAGATCACACGAAGAACACCGTTATCTCGGTGTCCCTGGACGGAAGGGAGATCCTGAACCTTCGATCGAACACGCAACAGCCGAAATTCAAGAACGTTCTATCCCTGGCGATGGCGAATGGTCTCTTTTACTGGACAAACGGCGAAGAGGTTCTAACCGAGGGCTACCACGCAGGGCAGAAGCTGTACTTCCACAACGCCTACCCGGACAGATCGGACGGTTCCTTCGTCAGTGTGAACGTCCTAATGGACGCCAGTCAGCCAGTCCCGGTCCCGGTGAACCCCCCCACAGGAGTTCAGGCAGTTCTGGGCGCTGAACGAGCCAAAGTCTCGTGGCAAGCGCCGCACCTGCTGGGTGGACAGGGCAAGGGCGCCTGGCAGAACTGGTCGTACGAGCTCGAGATCAAGGACGAGAGCACTGGCCACACCATCAGACAACGCGACATCGCAGGCTCGTCGCACACTGTCAAGAACCTCCGTGAGAAGTCAGAGTACACGATAAAAGCAGCCGCGTACACGAAAGCCGGCAGGGGCCCCTGGTCCTCGGAGTTCCGGGGGAAGACCCTCAGGGAGAATTCTCACTCCTCGATTCTCTGGTCCGCTGATGAGGGATTACTGAAGAGCGACGTCACCGGGGAGAATGTCCAGACGCTGATCCACAGGGAGAGTCTCAGAGACTTCGACAGCGAGTACCACATCGTCGACGTCAGCTGGTACAAGGATATCTTGTACATTGTTGGGAACAACTCGGCTCTGTATAAGTACAATATAACCAGCCATCAGAAAACCAAGTTTAATATAAACTCGGTGGGAAGTGTGGCTGTCGACTGGATAGCGAAGAAGCTCTACTGGGCGAATCCAAAGCAGCAGATTATAACGAGGGCTAATCTCAATGGGACGCACCAGGAGCCCATGTCGATCTTGGCAATTGTCAAGGAGCTCATAATCGACTCTCAAGAGGCTTATCTCTACTGGTCGACAGGCCACGCAGTCGAAGTGGCGAGACTGAACGGCCTGGACAGGAGGTACTACCACTCGGACGAGATCTTCAATGGCAAACAAGTAATGGGGTTGACCCTGGACACCGAGAATCGTTTCGTCTACTGGATAGTCCGGAGCTACGAGAGTGGCTCGATAGTCTATCGAGCCCCCACTTCCGAGAGGATCCCAATGAGCCAGAAGATCGTCCCCGAGAGGGTTTCAACGCTTCAACATCCGAACATGCAGGGCCCTCTGTGTTATTTTTCCGAGCACCTCCTCTGGCTCCAGGACGACAGAAACGCCGTGATCGGGGATTTAACGGGGCAGAATACAGCGGTTATCAATGGCATCAGCCTGATAGGGCTGCACATGGTGGCTGTGGTGGACCCAGCGCTGCATCAGTACCCGGAGAACCTCACGTCGGAGACCATCTCAGTCATTCCGAATGCAGTTGGACTGGACAGCATCAGGGTCGAGGGCTCCTGGAGGAACTTCAGTGTCTCCTGGGCGCCGGTCACCAACATCAACTACGGAACTGTCTTCTACGAAGTCAAATTCGCGGATTACATCAACACAAACTCAAACGCGGAAATCACGACGGAGACGAGTTTGCCGTACAACAATTCAGATCAGATCCTGCCGTACTCCATCCTCGAGGTCACTGTGAAGGCTTTTACGTATTGGGGGACTGCTCCGCACTCCAGGAAGATGCTGAGGTCCCCCCAGAGCGTTCCCAGCCAGCCCACCAACGTCAGGGCCTTCGTCGAACACTACAGAGCACCGACAATCGAAGACGTCGATATCTTCGTGACGTTCAGGTGGAATCCCCCGGAGTTCCAGAACGGCTTGATCCAGGGGTACTCCCTCAGGTGCTGGTTCCTGGATGATGGCGTCGAGATTCACGTCTGTCAAGGGGTTCAAGTGGGCCACGACGCGAGGGAGTACATCTCCCACAATTTGAGGCCAAACACGACGTATCGCTTCGAAGTGCAAGCGTTCACAGACATCGGGCCCGGTCCCTTCTCAGACGTCATCGAAATTTCCACGGGAATGGAGCATCCGGTGCCTCAGCTTCTCCTGGCCACCACAGACTCCGTTAAATTAGCGGACTTGGACCTGGGGACCAATGAGACACTGACGAGACACATCGCGGTCGAGGTGAGGTACATAGCAGCCGAGAATAAACTCTACTGGATAAACGAGATGCAGGAGATTGTGACTGCGGACCTCAAGGGACGAAATGCGACGAAAATTCTGTCGTTGAATGGGACTGCGTCGAGTCTGGCTGTCGACTGGGTGGCGAGGAACCTCTACTGGGCGGAATCCCGCAGGAAAATCGGGGGGAGTAGAATAATGAAGATGGATTTGAGCGCCTGGGAGGGGGGGAGTCTCATCTTCGAGAGAATCATCACGAGTGAGAGGAGGATAATAAACTTGGAGCTGTCTCCTTTGACCGGGGATCTCTTCTGGATTGAGGTGACAGAGGGCAATCATGGGATGGTGATGCAGTCGAATTTATCTGGGGAGAACGTGAGGCCTTTCTTCAATCACAATGAGGACTGCAGTTGTCCGGACAGACCGCCGGTGAAGGACGTGATGACAGTGGACAGTACAGACCCCCGAAACCCAGTGATGTACTGGGTCTCGTTGGACGGGGGCTTGAACATCGCTGCCATCGACGGATGCGGCTGTGACTCCGTGGCAAAACCAGGGTTCAACAGGGGACTGCCGCCCTCATCCCTGTCAGCTGATAAATTCAATATTTACTGGTACAACTGGGCGGACGACGAGATTCACTTCGTGAAGAAGAATAATCCTTACCAGGAGGACGAGGAACAGAGGATCGAGCGAATCTACCTGGCGAACATCAAAGGACTGAAGGCGATTGGACGATCCCTCCAACCGTACCCCGATTTGGATTGCTTGACCCCTTACCCGATGTCCTATACTGTCTCTGAAGTGTCCAAGAAGGCTAACAGCATAACAATCAGACTACCGAAGCCGGAGTCTGACCTGCAGTGCAGGAGGTACAATCTACCAGGGGTTCAGTACACAGTTTACGTGTCCCAGTGCGCAGAAGACACTGTCAACAACCAGATGATCTGCGACAACGAACGGATTAAGATTCAGACGTACCAGAGGGAGGTGGAAGTGTCGAGCCTCAAGCCATTCACATTCTACAAATTCACATTGGGACTGAGTAATTATTACAGAGACCTGGAGGCTTCCAGTCTCCAGCACGGCTCCCCGGTGATGCTGAGGACGGCCCCTGGCGCCCCGTCGGCCCCGGAGAACGTCACAGTGGAGGCGTTAACTCCAACTCTAGCTGCGGTTTACTGGCTGCCCCCGAGGATCCTGAATGCTGCTGCTGTTCGTTACGAAATCCACTGGAAGTCTGACAAGCTGGTGAACGGGGTTCGCCAGAAGGGAGAGCAGGTGGTCAAGAATGCTGGCTTCTCTGCTGGGAGGTACTCAACGACCCTCCAGCCTCTGGTACCAGGACAGGATTACGTGGTGACAGTCAGGGCGTCTCCAGCGGATTCTTCTGACGTCTGGAGCGAGAGTGACAGCCAGGTGGTCAGCATGTACCCAGAGCCGAACAATCTCACGCTGATGGGAGCCAGTATCAACGCCCTGAACCTCTCCTGGGTTCCTACCGTTGACCTGACGACCAGTTACATCCTCCAGTTCACGACTGTGGGCCTGGAGAAGTGGCAGATTGCGACTGACGTTGAAATCCAAAGGAACAGAACTGTTTATCACATCAAGGGGCTTCTATCGAAGACCTTCTACAAGTTCAGACTGATACTGAGGTATCCGAAATACAAGGAGGATTTCGTCTGGCCAACAGACGCCAGGTTCACCTTCCAAACCCTCGGGGACGTTCCCAGCCCCCCTGGAGTCCCCTCTGTCACGAAACTTCGGAACTCGGTGTATCAGATTAACTGGGAACCTGCGCAGGCCCATGGCTCCCAGGTGAAGATGTACAGACTCCAGGGGAAGATCGTTGGAGAGCCTGGGGATCACGATAAGCACGAGCAGTGGACTAGCTACTACAATGGCACTGATAACTACTGGATAATCGCCGGGGAGATGAATCACAAGTACAGATTCAGGGTTCAGGCGGAGAATGCTTACGGCTTTGGGGGGTGGAGTCAACCCAGTGCTGTGATTGATCTGACTGATACCATTGGAACAACAGTGGCAGGACAACAGCATCTGGGGCTGGTCCTGGGACTGAGTGTCCCAGTGGTGACGATCGTTCTCCTCTGCTTCTGCTACTTCCTGTGTCTGTACAACAAACAGAGGAAGGAAGTGAAGAAAGCTATTCTTCCGCCCATCGTTTCTGACGTGGAACTGGCCACTCTCAGGGAAATCCCTCGAGGCAATTTCGTGCAATCGAACGCTCTCTACGCCTCGTCCATGCAGAATGACCAGGATGATCTGTCCCTCCCGAAAATCCGAAGGGATCAGATAGTGAGGATAGCCTTCTTGGGGAGTGGAGCCTTTGGGGAGGTGCACAAGGGGGAGGCCAAGGGCCTCGATGGCCCAGGGACTACCCCTGTGGCTATAAAAACCCTGAGGAAAGGGGCCTCTGCCCAGGAGAAAACAGAGTTCATTCAGGAGGCTAGACTGATGAGCCATTTTAAGCACAAACACGTGCTGAGACTACTTGGGGTCTGCCAGGATATCGATGGGCCTCAACTTGTGCTGGAGCTCATGGAGGCAGGGGACTTGCTGACGTATCTCAGGAATAGCAGGAACTACGCGCCCACTGATCCTCAAGCCCTCAGGCTCCAGGATCTGCTCGCAATGTGCGAGGATGTTGCCAGGGGGTGTCGATACCTCGAAGAACTGCACTTCGTTCATCGTGATTTGGCCTGTAGAAATTGTTTGGTCTCTGCCAAGGATCGTGAGAATCGAGTGGTCAAGATTGGGGACTTTGGACTCGCCAGGGATATCTACAAGAACGATTACTACAGGAAAGAGGGGGAGGGCTTGCTGCCAGTTCGTTGGATGGCTCCAGAGTCCCTGATGGACGGGGTCTTCACGACGCAGAGCGACGTGTGGGCCTTTGGAATACTCATGTGGGAGATTACGACCCTCAGCCAACAGCCCTATGCTGCCAGGAGTAATGTGGAGGTGCTGCAGTATGTGATGAATGGGGGGAGACTGACCCAGCCTGATAACTGTCCTGATCAACTCTATGACCTCATGCAACGCTGCTGGAGCGAGGCTGAGGCCAGGCCCAGTTTCAAGACTTGTTTGGAGAGGATCATCGTCCTCAAGAAAAATACTCCGGATGCTATTTTGACTCCTGTGCAGGCGGGGCAATATCCCAATAGACGAGGTTTGTGCTTTTCGATTATCAGGAATTATCACGGTCGCATTTCATGCATGATTTTGGTGGAAATTATTGGAGACTTTGTTTTGATGGTTCAGATCATTTGTGGAGGAATAATGCAGTTGCCATTGTTCATTTAATAACAATAATTTTGGAGGGAGAAATTCTCAATGATTTGAAAGCTTTTTTATGGGGAATTGTTAGGAAATTGATTGATGGATTGATTGCAGAAGAAAATTCCGGGGTAGGCGACTTGAAAATTTCTATTGTTAGGAATTTCTCCTCTCTTTGATGATATAATATTGTGCTTCTCAAACTCAAATTGGCCATTATTGCATGGCTCGTGCTTGCAGGCGTGTCTAACATGGCTTACTTTGCTGACGAGAATCAAAATCATAACAATTCAGGTAGGTTGAGGAGAACCCCTCGAAATCATCGATTAACATTGATTATTCCCCCGACTGAATTGCCACCCGATAGAAATGCAGTGTTTGGCGTTTTGCGGTGGAGTGGGGGTAGGATTATTTCGTCAATTTTTCGGTAATTCCCAATTTGTTGCATGGTAACCAGTTATCGATAAACAAAGGATAACCCGATTGAACTCGGAAGTAATCTGTTCAAGTTCACGTGGACGAAACTCAAGTGTCAAAATGGATAGATTTGGAGGAGATTCTCTCGATGTTGTTGACCAAAATATAGAGAAAAGGTTACCAAATAATACAGTGAAGTGTGAGAACGTCAACTTAATTTTATTAACGACAACTTGAAACTGGATGCCGAACATCACGGCTCTCTACTAAAAAAGATGAGAATGGGTGGACCATGCATTTCCAATGAAGAATCACCGCCTTCGAAGTCTTCCAGTCTCATTCCTCAAAACACTGGTAACATCACTTCCTCGGATCACACCACATTCATTTACAATAATTGTACTTTCAATTGCGCAAATTTATCGATGAAACAATAATTTTCCTCCTCTCATTCCTCGTTTTGTTCAGCAATACTTTAAATTTGAATGAGAATATCGTTGTTTATCCAGCTAAAACGTCGAATACTGCATTCCTATTGGTTGGCAATTCAGATGGGGGGAATAATCCAGCCGAATGCCCCTCGGGCATCGAAATTGTCTAAAATTTTCCTCAAGTTGTCCTGCATATCAACGAGTGGGGAAAGTTTGGCAAAAAATACAAAAAAATCGACAATTTTGAAGCACTCGGGGCATTACGACTGAATATTTTTACATGACTTCCACCTCACCCACAACCTCTAACGTCACATAATTCGTTCACCAGGGAATTCATGGAAGTCGAGTAGCTCCGAAAGCAGTCGAGACATGAAGCCCTTCCTCCAGGACTCAACAACAACGACTGCCACTCAATTATCCACAGAGGTGGACGTGCCCAAGTACCTCGAGATAATAGCAGATGCTCCAGGCACTATTGGAGAGACTGTAATAGACGAATACGAGGTGCCAAGGTCGATACCAATTGGCAGTATAGCCGGAATATCTCCAGACGATCGAAAACATTTGGACAGTATATTATCAAAAATAGGATCGCTGGCTTCAGTGGCTGAAAAAAGTCAAGCATTGAGTAATCCAAGACTAGTTATATCAGCCCTGCCCACTGATTTGAGGGCAGCATTGAGTGAGAGAGCTAAATTGAAGCGCAAAACCGATGAGGGAGCGGAAATGAGTGCTGATGAGAGGAATTGTAATTCACTCAGCTCGTCAATCTCCTCCCTTCGTGGAGCATTACCCTCCACTAGGCCAAGTTCGTCTGTCCTAGAATCTCAACCGAGTGTTACGTTGAAAAATGACTTGAGTAGCGTTAGGGATAATAATTCGACATTAAGATTGCACAAAACACACACGTTGAATGGAAAAGCCAATATAACTATAAATAGTTCGCTGTTGAATTTGTTGAGACAGAGCTCTGGGTTTGAGGATTCTGGTCTCAATATTGTCACGTATACAAATGTAAATACCGATTCAACTAGAGTCAATTAATCCGGGATATCTCGATAATGTGCCTTTCTTTCATTATCATTTATAAGTCTATTGTCACTTTGCCACATTTTATTTATGTAAAATTCTAGGGCAAACAATTTTCATCCTTGTAATTCCTATTGTATTTATTAAATGAGGCTGGATTTATATTTAGTTTTTTAATTTTTAAGAGCCAACGTATTTATTTTCATCGTAAATTGTATAAATTTGTTAAGTTTTATATGTAAAGAACAAACAATGACACGAATTTGATATGAGAGTTGTACTGTAGATAGGTTTTTATCACACGAATATTTAAATTTGGGATCAAAAATAGATTAAGATTTTTATAATGATGTATATAATTTGAGAAGAATTATGTAAATTTATTGTCGTCTTCATTTTTTTTTTCTAAATGACGAAGTATTTTATCTATCTTCCAATTTTTCTTTTACAGTCATGTGAATGTAGATTAATGTCTTCCTAATGCGCTCAGTTTTGTAATGGTCATGACTTACTGTAATGTACATAGAAGATAATTGTTGACCAAAGAATAAACATTTGTCAGTTAATCACATTATTCTTCTTTATTTTTATACAAATTCTTTGATATAAGCTATTGATAATTGTCAAGTACAGTTATTAGTGCATCACTCAGTCACTCATTTTTTTGTCATAAATATTTCGAGTTTTGCACTGTAAAAGATTGAATTAGAAATTTATTTTTCTATTTATGCAATTGTGCTCATGCTATTTCAATTTCTCTCACTTTCAAGTGAATTATTGCCTGAAATAATTGAACTCTTCTCCTGATTCTATCATTCTATCAGACTACAGTATTCAGGATTGATTGGGACGTGTCTCAAAATTTTACACAAGTGAAGACAATATCAACAAACGAAACGCCTCAGAAGCTTACCAATAGTGAAGTGGGCTCACAATGTTCAACAATACAAAAAATTAACATTCAGTTTATATTTTCCAGTCCGCTGTTATGACTATTCACATCCTCCTGCAACAAAAATTACCAAAAAATAAAATTACTTCAACAAAACAGATGCAGAAAATTCGAGAATTCAAGATATTTACGAATCCGTTAAATTTCTATCTTAACCCCAGGGGTTTATTCAGTTACCCTGAAATATTTATGATATGCTGAATGCTACTCATTTCCTCTCATGATTTTTGAACGAGACTTACAAATTATTTAACAACTCACAAATGACAAAATTGTGTACATTGTCAGAAAAAAATGAAATTTCATGGACAAGCGACTAGTAATTTTCAGATAGTGACATTGAGTGAAACGAGTGACTGAATTAATCCAAAATTCAAGAATATATTTACCGAGTTCTACGAAGTTGTATTAATTTACATGAAATAATTGAACTGAAATTTACAATTCTCACTGCTTTTTACATGAAATTCGAAGCTACCTCTTTCATATTAATTTATACCCTACAAACACCTAGAGTCGACTGAACAAAGTCCAAAGAATAAAATAAAATCCACAAAAAAGATGTTTAAATCCACAATTACCTAAGTTTCATTGGGAGCTATGAAATCATCATCCATAGCCTCATCCTTGCTGTTCTCATGGAGAAGAACATACTCCCTCGAGCTGAACCCAAACTTGAGGACATCCCTCTCAAACAACTCATGATACCTCCTCGCCTCCAGCTTGACATCATTGACCAAAGTCCCATTAGCCGACTCCAGATCGATCAAATAAGGCTTGACACACTTCCCCGTGGAGCCATCCTCCCTCTTGAAAGGCACCAGCCTGAACTGCAGTGCAGCATGCTGCTTAGAACAAGAGGGATGATCCAGAGGAATGTCCGCCACAGTCCTATCCCTCCCCATCAAATAAGCAGACTGTCTGTGAATATGAATGATAGGTAACTCTTTTTCCCCCTTGTACGGATACAATCGCCACCGTCTCTTCGGCTTCCTCGCGTCCCCAGGCTCCGAGTACTTAATAACAACACCATTTATCGCATTTCTATCCTCCGTCAACTTCCCCGACAACGCAAAATTCGGTTTCTCCTTGTCACCTGCATTTTTACTATCCTTCTCCTCCTTAGGCACACGTTTACCCCACTCTGGTGACGGTTCTTTCTTTACATTTGAATTACTGAAATCAAATTTTCTTGAATGATCATCTCTATCTCGCGCTCTGTGGTTATGTTCCCTACTTTCGTGTTTTGATTTTCTAGGCCTGTTGTCGTCGTCCCTATTTCGCGATCTGCTGCGAGAACGATCTCGTCTTTTTGATCTGTCATTGCGCGATTTCTCCTCAAATCTTTCTCGATTTCTGTCGCGACGATTTTGATCAGGATTCTCCCGAGTTTCTCGACGACGAGATCTGTCACGATTTGGACTTCTGTCACCTGCCATTATGCACTAACACTGTTTTGGAGTGTGAACGCCATTTGTGCGGGGCCACTGGGGGTTTGGGGTTGATTCTCATGGTTAACTGCGGAGCATGCGCACCGACCACTTCCGTTTGAACGCAGGAATTAATCATTTTGAAACTGACGGGTCAATCTAATCTTTCGGTGAATAAATTATGAGGAAACTGTTAGAAATTTCTCTTTTTGAAAGGAAACTCAGAATTTTTATAGGTAAAGGTGAACATTCCGTCTCGGAATGATGATCATCGCTGGTTGATACTCCGTGGTATTTTCATCAGGATTTTATTGAGTGACTCAAAAATTCACCGCAGAAAGTGATTAATCTCACTTTCCCGTGTGACTCATCAAATTATTCGAGAGTAGTTGTTTGTAAATTACAAAAGGAATGGAATTGGAAATGTAATTGAATACCAATGAAACTCCTGAAATGAAGTCTTTTGATTATTACGGTGAAGGTTCTTATGTCAGTGAAATCCATTTGGGTTCATCAATTCCCACGACATGACATTTCGAGACGGGGAAATTATCGAGTGGGTGTTCATAAATTACGAGTGAAAACCAATTGGACATTCAATCAATGCAACTAAAGGTTGTTTAGAATAATATTTCGATTATGTCAATGGAGGTTCCTTCGAAAAATTTCTTCGGTTCATTAACTCCCATGTCGCCACAGTTCATGGGAACAAAAAACATCGAGGGTGGGCGGTTACAGATTGAAAACGAAAGAGGAATTTTAAAAATTCGTTGAAAGAATTCAATTTCTTCTCAAAACAATGTTCTGCTGGTGTTTTGCCGATTCTATTAGAATATTCCGCAGCTTTTCAACGCACTTTTTTTATAGACAATATTTTATAGAGAAAATTGATTGGTTTAGATGATTCTATACAGCTTTAATTGTTCACATAATTTTTCCAAGTTTTTTTCATCGTGTTTTTTTTCTTGTAAAAGAATTCATCCAGGGCAACTGAAGAAATTTAACCTGAGGGATTTGCAGAATAAAGTGCATAGAAAAGATTTGTTTTGTGCAATATTTTCTATTGAAATTTTATCCAAATTAGGTTTTATCGAACGAGAAGACTTCAAATCTCGAGCACTTCAATTTTTTCTTTTCATATACGTCTTTTCACTTTTTAACACTCCGTTGGTCGCGCCGCACTGCAGTAAAGCCTCAGAAAAATTTGAAAAAATTTGACATCTCATTTTGAAGTGTCTAGAAGCCCTATCGAGGAAAATATCCGCCAAAAATATCATAAGTAGTTAGATTTTTCAACTTTTATTCCGAAACTCCGGGCCGTGTACCGTGTATAAGGCGAATTTTCAGAAAAACATGGCAATTTTGAGCTTGAATATACAATGACGGGTGCCTAATAATTAATTGAATATAAAAAATCTCACGGGACTTCTTTAAGTTTACGATCTAGATCACTCTTGATTTTTCTCAGATTTTTCCTAGATCTTTTAAATGTATCATTATGTCGATTTATGCTGGTGCCGCGCGGCGTTTACAGCGCGACTAACCAAGTGCTGAAAAGAATCGAAATTTAATAGAATTTTCAATAAAATTGCAATCCAATTCTCTTGGGGATTCACCAGACTCTTCTACGAAATTCGTGTGCCTTCAATCATAGAAATTTCTATCCTCCAGTCACCTCCACAACATTTATGAAATCGAAAGTATTGATCGTATCAAGTTAATGAACCATTACAACTGTTCGGTTGCGACTTCACGATTTCATCATAATTTTCAATTTAACTGCGACTGCACGGAGACGTTTGTGGACACCATTGAAACCCATGAAGTAATCTTCCCCTTTATTTATTGTAAGAATTACAAAAATCAATAGAAACAATTATTTTATAGAAGTGAGCACGAAATTCCTGGGTGACAATCTGGGATCGAATTCCGCCTTCAGTACAGGCTTCAAGTTATTATCCGAGAGGAATAAAAATCTGTCCAGCAAAATAACAGTCTCGACGAGTGGTGCTAGCATGAATCGCAGTGCCTCGAACGCTACAACATGACGCCACTTCGTCAAACACTTCTCCACTTCCGCATGATTTACTTCTGATATATTTATTCGCCTATTAACGTCAAGTTTCTCTGTAGCTAATCTGCAATACCTGAAAAAAAAAACAAGGCTCATTTTCACACTCATTTACATTCGATTCTTGTATTCTCTTCATGGAGAGGCGTAAGATATTTCCTCATATCGCGAAACTCACTCCTCAAAACTCATCTGATTATTGACTCTGACACTTCCTACTTTTCCATGCCGCATAGCAATTCCCCCCTTATCAATGAGAATCTTCTCGAGTGTCGCCCTGTATCCGTGTACTTTTAGATCCTCATACTCATTATTCTTTATTTTATCGCAGTAATTTTCTACCGCATGGCAGGCCACCTCCAGCGCGGCATAGCTGAGTGAATGGCTACTATTCCTCGCTACATATTTGCTCAGTGGATAGCCCTTGGCGTTCTCCGTCTCATCCTCACTGAAACCATTACAAAATGCCATACAATAACTAAACACGAAACAACCATAAACTTGTACCAGGAGTAATTGCACAAGTCATTGTGACGACTTTAAAAAAACCGAATTTTTTTACGGAGATAAAAAGTGTCTGGTTTTCGGTGAAGATGAAAAAATCCAGGGAGTGTTTAAAATTTCGACGCATTGAGAGAAGATTTGGCTCAAAAATGAAACGAAAAAGTCGAATTGTTCGTCACACAGCCTAAAAAAATTTTCTAGCTCACGGAGAGAAATATTCAGTAAAAATTACGTATCTTTTCCGTAATTCCGGAGCGAAATGTCTTTGTAGAAAATTTTACGGAACTGTCACGGAATTTTTCCACAGCGTTCCGTCGTTTTTACCTGAATGTACAACGTACATATGCCGGAACATAACATTCTTGAAATCACTTTTTCTCTGAAAACAAGAAACTTTTTTCGCCGTGCAAAAATACAGAGCTTTACAGTTTTATCACATTGCGCAATTCAGCCATTAACTTTAATATTGCCTTACTTGATGGTTAGTTTCATATAACAGCATCCAACAACGCTGATGAACTTAGCACTCGCCTGTCCAACATAAAACTTGAGCAATCTCGCTGCTAAATCACCACACGGATGCAATCCAATCAAACCAAAACCATTGTCATTTGATTGCTGTAAAAAATAATCCCGTAATATTTCTTTAATCACTGCTGGCAATTCTCCGCCTCGACAACTTTCATCGACAATTTTAGCGCACAAATGATAGGGTGGTACACCACAAAAGCCGGGTAGATGGGTCTCGAATTTCTTCATAAATTGCTCGTCATATTTTCCCGCTAATTCCGAGAGAGATTTATCCTGCTCTATGCAGATAACCGGTAGGTGATATTTGTACGCTAATTCACGGGCTAAGTGGCCGATCCCGGCGCCAGTGTCGACGATGCAACTGCACTTTGATAAATGCTTGCACCTCGCGACTATCTCCGAGAATTTCTCGATCTCGTAGCGCTTCTTCTCCTTCACGTGTTTCTTGAACAAATTCTGAAACTTGGTGAGCCGTTCGTCTTTGGCAATATCTTCACATGCCGATGTTTCCAGCACATGAGGATTTAATTGGGAGCTACTGCAGGTGAACGGAGACCTCTTGCTCGGATTTCGATTGATGCTCAATTGATCAATCAATTGTCGAAGCGCAATTAGTGATAATGGCCAGACACACCGAGGGCTCCTCTCGCGCAGAATCCACGACCCCAATTCCTCCAGCGATACATTCTCCAGGGTTCTAGCCCAAGGTTTGGGTAATCTCCCCCACAAGTCGTCTTGAAAAAAATCCTTGGAAGAATAATGGCGAATTACGTTGGAGAGTTGCTCTTGAAATTTCAAGAAATAAAATCTTGAAATCTTTAACAATGACTAATTTAGTTTTAATGGCGGTTTTTTTGGCCGGCGGGGTAATTCGTTAAATGAAGAGAGCAGGAAATTGGCCTCAGGGTCCGCCAGCATTTTTAGAATAATTAATAATTCTGTTGAAAAACAGAGATTTCTGTGCACTGAACCCCAGTTTGTAGGCAATTGCAATTTTTTGTTCCCATTGACACAGGAATTTAATTCTTTTTTGGAATTCCAATTTGAGGTCCACCTGATAATAAAAACTGTTGGAAATTGAGGCCATTGTTTTCTAAATTTTTAATCTATTAAAAATGAGAATGACACGGTTAAAAATTAGTAAGTGAATCTTTATCAAGTGATAATTCCCTTAAAATTTCAAGAAATCCTTTTATGAAAAATTCACGATTTAATGAATCAATAGAAAATATAAATTCTAGTTTAATTGTTCCACGAAAATAAATCAAAGTCAGGAAAGTTTAGATTATGATTTCATTGAATATTCACGTTGTGACTGAAAATTCAAGTAAATTAGGGAATTCTCGTCTTCATCCTGCCGAAAAATTTGGAATTCAATTGAATTTTCAGATAAATTTAACATTTCATAATTTTCCCCGTGAATTCAGTAGCGAAGAGGTAAAACGGTTTCAGTTAATTTCGACTATTGTTCAGTTTTCAATGAAATCTCAAAATCAGAGGGAGATAGCCCAATTTTTGTCATAACATTTTTTGTAGCCCTCAATTCGCTCCAGAAAAAAGGTCATTACAAAAATTTCAATATCTCCCTTAGATGCGGAGAAATTCTTCAAAAACTCAGCTAAGGGTTAAGTCGACTTGAACCGGTTTACGCTTCGCTGCTGAATTGAGTTCACTGAAGACGACTACTGAACTGTCCATAAAATTTCAATTGTTTTCCAACAGTGTAAAGTTCAAATTCGCAAAATCAAAACTTCGCACGAGGCTGTCCTACAATTTCAAAAAGTTTCTGCCAATATAAAGCCCTGAATCTATCACTTGCATGCGTCAATTCCTCTAGATCGAATTGATGGGAATCTGGTTATCGCGTGGATCGATCGAACGAAACCGTTCGAATTTAGCGGGACGGCAATTAAACACTAGCGCCCCCAGTCGTCAAAAAAATCCGCGATAATCCAGTTTCTCGAATGAGACGTTGCCAATCAATACCCGAGGAAGCGCGCACAAATCCATCAAAAGACATCGATAATGAGCACAAAAATACTAACAACAATGTAAGAATCCAGCATCCATCCGTACAGATCTAGAACCCTGAAAGTGCCGTCGATAATTGCTCCGATCCCTAGGCAAACCCGACACGTGCACGTTCTCCCCCGACGAGCCGCCATTCTCGATGGGCACTGACTACCGCCAGCCATTCAAATCACCCCATTCATCCCATCAATCAACGGCGATACTGTTATCGTTAACCGTTCAAACAAACCATTAAAAACCTAAACCCATAATTCATACGAATGATGACGTAATTCTTTGTCCAAATCTTTAAATCTCCTCCACGAAATGACCGTCAGCGGCGGACACTTCATTTTTTGTTCAATCACTTTATCAACAGTGAAAGTAAAGTAAGTCGCCGTGAACCGATGCTTCTCATGCGGATGAGCATATTTTTATTTCCCGGCGGCCGTTTTCTCTTCGCCCGAGTCTCTGCATGTGAATTGTATTTATAAAATGTTGAAGAATGGAGGCAAATATTTTTTCTTCGCTTGAATTTGTAATTTATGAATAACGTATTTTTTTAAATATACGAAATGGGGCGAATTGCAGACGCACGCTTACGAAATTTCCCCGCGGAATGTGGGAGACTGTATTGTTTCAGTTTAGGCCACATTATTCAGCTTGATTTAATGATGAAGCATGCTTCTGGCAGTGGCAACATTGAATCATCTTGTTTTATTTATTAATACTGAAAAACTTGGTGCAGTTTTCTTGCGTTCCACTTTGCAACACTTTCACTCTTCACTCCAGGTAGTTACGTTATTCTTGCAGTGTTCTATGGGTTTATATTACTATCTCCTTCATACGTGAACAGAAGCCTCGAAATACTGAACCGGATAAGAATTAAATGCACTGAGGAAGAAACCTACTTTTGATAATGATAAACCTACTTGATGCGAGAAAATATTCTCCTGTCAATTTTGGAAATCGTGAAATCTCCTGATGAATAATTTCGTTTTTTCAAGAGGGGGTGAACCTCCCTTTCAATCTGAAAACGCCCCGGGGTACAATCCTATTCTTGCACTGACAAAAAAAATACTTTTGATAAAGAAAATATTCTCTTGTCAATTTTAAAAGTCGGGAAATCTCCGGATGAATAATTTCGTTCTCAGACGCACTGGGGAAAAAATTACTTTTGCCAAGTAAATTTACTAACGAAAAGAAAATCCATACATTTCTAATGCAAATATTTATATACGTTTACTTGTGGCAAGTAAATTTACTTGGCAGAAGTATTTTTTTTCTCAGTGTGGAGAGGAAAAAGTTTTCCAACAGGATGAGATTCTCTTGAACCGAGAGCATTTTTAAGCGTTCTGAAGACTAGAAATGATTTCCTTTCCATAAATTCATGAAGTTTGCGTTATATCTAGAATTTTTGTTCATCAGGACTTTGACTACATAAAATCTTACACAAAAAAAATCTTGCAACACTTGATATCAATTTTCTATACACTTGAATTAATACTGAAAGTGTTCGTCGTGCAATCGAAAGAAGAATTCCTCTGTTGGAGATGATGAGTGATCACATCGGGAAAGTGAATTCTCACAATCCATTAAATTCTAGATAATAACCCAAACTATGTGAATTTATGAGAAGACTTATGCCAACACTTGACTTAACTCAAGTTTTCTCGGGACTTTTCTCAAGATTTCACAATTCTAGAAATTGACGAGAGAATATTTTTTTGTATCAGAGAAATCATGTTTGTCAAAAGTAATTTTTTTCTCTGTGCATGCAGTAGTTTTTTGTGAAATTATGGGTTTTTCCAGGATTTTGAATTGATGTCGTTGACGGGGACTCAGTCCGCGGTCTCGCAAATTTATCTGTTGAATGGCTATCCGGTTCAATGAATTCGAATTGACGGCTTGTGGTGGTTTATAGTTTTTCACCATTTATATTGGGAATCGTGCTAAACGATTTCGCCGAATGAACAACTCGAGAATTTATTGTTCTACGTAATAGATTTTAATTACTGCATTCCCTAATGGTGCTATCAACAATTCATCATTCAAATTATTAAATTTTAATGAATCTCCATGCACTTCAAATAAACTTCATTTACGCTACTATCTCAGCAGTCGCAACTCATCGCCTCATGAGAATCTCTGTCTAAACCACGAAAGCAATTACAAACTTTTTCATAACTTAGCACTTTCATTCGTTCCAGTTTCTGCGATAATAACCGATTTATTAAAACACTCCTCCATAAGCATGAGCCCGTAATTTTCACGGAGTACTCTATTTCTCTTGCGTGTTGTAATTAATCAGTAAATCTTCCGCATCGAAGTGGCCAATGAGTACATTACGATTTTTTGAAATTCAGTCGAAAAGAGTGTACGAAAAAAAAAAATTATCACACCCGGGAAGATGGGGGAATGGATTTGGACCTCTTACGCCAACCACAAGTGAAAGTTTACCAAGTAGGACGCGCGTCTCGAATCCCAACCGCGTTTGAACGTTCGCCAAATGCTCATCATCACGACCGTGTGGCTCTGGCCGTGTGCGGCCTTCAGGGCAGTCACTTGTAACCTTAAGTAAAAGCGAATCACACGGCCATCTAACACCTCCTCTCCGATCTCCACTAACCAAAATCTACATTTCTCTTATCATCGCTTCATCCTCTCCTTCACGGTCACCTTCCCAAAAATAATTTCCCATCATTTCGACTCTCCCAAATATCATTAACATACCAACACGCATAATAACCATTCATCATCACCACAGAATGCCGTTGGACCATTGAAACCCAGATGTTGAACATTGAATATGTAATAAACAACGGAATCCGTTATTTATTTTTATCCGCACAAACTTGAAATTCCTCAAGTTTATTTTTCATGAGTTAAATACCGGATTGAGGTGAATGCCTCAATTATTCTCTATTCAACAACTGCGCCTCATTCCGCTGTAAATGACATTCAAATGGAATTCCCAATTCTCTCTGGCTTCCTTTTTTATTTCCCTCTAGCTTGTAAATCTTGGATTCGGCGCGAGTAGCCCGTGTATACACGCGCCCCGAGGGGTATTGAGTATCGGCGGATTGGCTCTTTATGAACGGACTCTTCCTGAACTGGAAAGTATGCACTCTCTCCGGAGGTCAACACGCCCCGGGGATATATACCTCGTCATTGAAATGCTACTTGACCAGACAATTCCACTAGTGTACCAACAATAGACTGTTATTTGATAAACACCTGCACTGTTAGCAATTTTTCAAAATTTCATGGAGAATGCCGTAGGAATTCTCACGGGAGTGACATTGAATCCGATTCAGGGGAAAAATGATTATGAAATTTCAAATTTAAGGGAGAATGCAAGGAAATTCATGAATTTTCAGGGACAGTGAGACAGAAATTTCACAAGTTAATTGAGTTTTCAATGGAACGTGAATATTAAAAAATAACAAATAACAAATCAGAAATTTTCACATTTTCCCTAAATCTTTCCGATTTTTGCGAATTTTCACGGAACAATTGAACTGAAAGATCAAGTATTCTATTGATTTTCAGATTATTCGAACGGAAAATCAATGGAATATTTGATTTTTCAATGACGAGATTCCTTGAAATTTCAGTGGAAATTAAACGTGATAAAAATTTCCGGGATTTGACACGGAAAATTCAGACGAAAATTTTGAACAGTGTGCGACATTTACCACTATTCCCACTATTTTCCCCGATATGTTGCTCTACAAATCCCAACCGGAGATAAGAACAGAAAAGGGTAGACTCTAATGATCAATTTCTACCACAATGGCCCATTGACCCCTCCCCCGTCCCTCCAATTTACATCCAAATGTCCCATTCAATTTTTGCAACGTTGACCCGTCAAATTGCCGGAGAACACGATAACCATCCTGGCAGAAATTTCAGTGGCTCCCCAGAGAAAGGTATATACCTTCCTGCATTAAAAACCTCCTGCGATATTAGAGAGGAGTCCGTGTGTCGAGTCAGATGGTAGTGGGAAATGAGGCAGAGGGAGGACATACTTCTGATGCCCGATCGCCACTCAGTTCCCCTGCGTCGCTTGTCTCGACATCTTCCCACTTTTCAAGTATAACACCCGGGCGCTTCTCTAATATGTACTTTGGGACACGGTAACGCGCCGCAGTAAAAGACCGGTGGAGTTTATTTTTTTTTTAATCCCGAAAATCTTGTATCGAGCTCAACATCATGACGATGCGTCTCCTTAGACTGGTAATTCATTACGTACTCTAAACTAAACCCGGTGAAGGAATCCGTAACACTACTTTATAATTTTTACGCACCCATTACGAAATTAACACTTGATCACAATCATCAAACTCCAAAGTTTCTAATCAACTACATAACATTGGATGATTTTTTTTATTCGGCTTTGCGGCTATTCGTAATTCCTCAGTCGTTAGTGAGCCTCGCAAATTTTTGAATTTGTGAATTGACTAATTACTCTAAGAGTGAATGGATAGCGAATTGCGTCCCTCTCGCAGTGCGAAACTTCGAATTTGACGAGATTTAAATAACAACGCGAAAGAAAAACGTACCTCACTAAGCCCGACAGGGTCTAACGACAACAGTCATCGCACTCTCGGTGTTTTTATATTCGATTTGTGATATCAACATTTTTCCAACAAATGGATTGATTACATCAAGAGCCTAACCCTGGGTGAACCTAAAATATTTAGCAAAACATCGCACTATGACAATTTAACCGATGTAGCGAGCTTATTTCCCCACTATCTCTGTGAACATCTGCTTGATGTACCTCACTCACATCTGACGAATTACGAATGCCCGCGCAGCCGACTAAAAAATTCATCCAATGTACATTCATCCACCACTCGATAAAATCCTCAAAAACTGCAACAGCTCAACTTTTTTCCCCGGAATCCTCAATACTTGACTAGCGAATAGCTTAACGATCATTGCTGAAGAACTGGGCTTGCCATATTTGGTGTATCACTGCATCAGTAGATCCATGTACGAAGTGTAACCGTTGGAAACGCCGATAGAATACCAAGTAATCAGTTTCTCATCCAGTTACAAGTTTTCTTTATTAACGAGGTCACACGGAATGGAGTTAAATCGCATAACATCAATTAACTCGCCTGAATTCCCGACATTTCATTCACCCATTTTCCCCAGACGTTGTTCCTCTCGGCGATGCTGCTGGCTTCCTCAGCGGAGGACCAATCGAAGAGCCGTGATAAGCGTCAGCAGTTGTCGTACCACCCGCGACGAGTGGGCAAACCACCCCCTTACGCAGTGCAAATGGAGCCGCCAGTGCGATACTCCCAGCGAGATCCCCTGTACAATCCCCTGGCAAGTGCCAAGAGTGATGACTTCATCTACGACGAGCCCCACCACCACAACCCCTACAGCTCCGAGCCCGAGCCGATAATCGAAATAATAATCAAGGAGTCCAACGAGTCCCTTCCCACCCCAGTGCCGCCCACCCACCCCCCGGTGCGACCCACAAAAGAGCCGATTCAGGTGTTCTACGTGAAATATGAGAAGCACGATCAGGGGGATGGAAAATCGAAGGTGATTTACGATACGCCAGTGCCAGCATTGAATCCTCACGAGGAGCACGAGGAGATAAAAGCCGAGGGTCAAAGTTACGACAATGAGCCAGTGTCTTACGTTACCCCAGCGCCGGCCAAGGAGCCAACGACCACTTTGCGCGCTATCATACGTCCGGAGAGTGAGTCTTATCACGCAGGTGGCAGCGGAATTCGTGTGACATTCGGCACTGAGCAATTACCCCCGAACAGTCACAACAAACGAAGCGACTTAGAGGGGCAGAAAAAAGTCGCGCCACCCTCTCCGCCCCCGACGACTTCGAGAAAACAGCACGGTCCGTTCCCCCCGCCGCCAATTCCTCATCGCGTACCGCCGGCATTTCCCCAGCAGCGGATCGTCAACTCGTTTTCATCTCAACAGCAGTTGCCTCAAAATTACCCGGTCCAGCCGCATTTCCAGGGACCTCCGCCGAGGTATCAACGACCGGCGATAAGTATTCAGGGTTTACCGGAGGTGCAGCAACGCCTGCCGTTCCAGACGTTCAGTCAACCCCACCGGGTCGCCATCAATCACCCGCAGCAGCCGGGCTTCCCACCCGCGTTGTCAGTGTCACATCAGAGTGTGAACTTGCAGAATCAGTCGCCGCAGTTCTTGTCTCAACCGAGTTTCATCGATCAGGGCTATCATCAGCAACAGGTGCAGCTGTACCGGCAACAAGAGGAGGAGAAACAGAGGTATCACGACCAGCGGAGGCAGCAGGAGTCCCAGAGGCAACAAGAACAGCAGCGGCAGCAAGAACTGCAGAAGCAGCAGGAGTTGCAGAGACAGCAAGATTTGCAGAGGCAAAAGGAAATCCAGAGACAACAGGAGTATCAAAGAATTAAACAAGAGAGTAAAATTCGCGAGCAACAGCAGCAGCAGTTCAACCAACCCCCGAATTTCCCACAGAATCATCAGATACTGCTGAACAATCGGGTGCAATCCCAACCGCAATACCATCGCGAGGTGGAGAAACCGAGCGAGATTTTGAAAGCGGTTCCGAAATTAGAGCAGCATTACGCGATTAGAGAAAATCCCCATCACCCCGGGCCCTTCCCCCCCAATTCTCAACAGTTGCCCCCGCAATTCTCCCAGAATACCCAGAACAACTTTGTACAACAGCACACACAAGTGCAGCATACAAATTCCATTGGGATTCAGCAATCGCCGGTATTGTCCAATCATGGAAATTACGTGGCGAGCACGATTGCGCCATTGAGCCAGACGCCGAGCTCGCCACCGAGGCACCAGGGAAATCAGCAATTCTTCGCCCAGAATCGCGGACAGGCGCAGTACCAGCAGGTGCACCAGCCTCTGGCCTCGGTGTGGGGTCGACCGGTGTTCAAGGATAGTAAGCAGAAGATTTACGCAACCCCGGTGACCCACACCACTTCACAGCCTAAGCCAACGCAGAGACCCGTTACAAGCACCACGAGAGCCCCTCCGACGACGACGACGACGACGACGACGACGACGACTGCAGCCCCCACCACCCCCAGGAACGAAGCCAGGATCAAGGAGAACATCGCTAATCTTCCGGACGAAGTGCCTGACGATATCAGGCAACAACTCCTGAGCTCCGGAATCCTCGGTAATGCGGATATTCAGGTTCTCGATTACGATAAAGTCGGCGGTATTAACATCGAGAATTTACCCCCCGAGGCGCTCGCCAATTTCTACGGGGCCGGTGGCGGTGGGGTTGTATCAGCTAGCGAGCCAGTACCGTCGATCGCAAAGTACCAAAAAACTAGTGGAGCGGGATTGACACCCAAAAAGGCGACGAGCAAAGTTGAACAGGCAACACTCAAGCCCGGAGGTGTGGAAATGAAAGTAGTACGGTTTGACCCAAATACGGCGCAAGGCCAGGCGATAGCTGATCAGCACATACGTGAAGATGCGACCCACCTGAAACCGGTAACTGTGGGATCGAGGAATGATGGACAGTACAATCGTTATTTACCATTAAAAGTGAGCGGTACATCCTTTCCGATTCCCGATGTAGCGGAATTGAAGGATCGCAAGATATCAAGCGTCGTTGTACTTGCACCTGTTGATTACAGTGGTGATGAGCTGGAGGTGGATAGACAGTCGAGGAAATTGGGTGAGCCGATGCCAGTGAAATTTTTAGCTGGTGACTCGTTGAAGCAGCTCATTAAGAAACCCAGCGCTGATAATTATAAGAAATGGCTGGAGCAGGAGAGGAGGACTGAGCCGCAGAAGCAGTCTGTCGTGCTTCTGGTAACGACGTAAGATTTCATTATTTTCTCAGGTTCTTTGTTAATGTCACTGTTAATTTACTTGTCGCTTGACTCATTAACTCGAGCCTCTTTGATTCGTTTGCGCGACTCCACTCCAGTAGGTTAAGGATGTTCGACACCCCTTTAGCCAAAATTGACGTTGTTTTCATTTTTCTGGCAAATTATCGATGGGAGTGACGTGAAAAAATATAACGATTTTGTGGTTTGTCATTCGTTAATGGCTCACGAAGTTGCGTAGTGGTGCGATAATTTTCATGCGTTTTTTCTACAGTTTTGTGATTCTTTTTAAAAGTTTAGAGAAAACGCAGGAAAATGTTCGCACCACCTTAAAATTTCGTCAGTCATTAAATAATGACAAAACGCAAAAACGTTATATTTTTTCACGTCAATTCCATCATAAGTTTGCCAGAAAAATTTAAAAAACGTGAATTTTGGCAGAAAGGGTGTAGAACATCCTTAATTTCAATTAAAAATTTCATTTGCAGACCCAACGATCAGCGCAACGGGGATAAAGAGATCTTCATGTACGATGTGACAACGCAAACTGTAAGCAAACTCTCCGGTGATTTGTCATCGGCTTTTGTGGACGCCGCGGAAAGCAACGCCGACAGTCACGATAGCATTGACGATTCATCCTTCACGCATTGAGAGACGTGAGAATTGGATGAAGGGAAAGGAAGCAGTTGAATGAGAAAAAGATACAGGAAGGAATGAAAAAGAGTCTGTTCACCGGAATTGAATTGAACGGCTTAATGAATGCCATTTTGCCCGCCAAGGCTTTGACTCTGCGTTGCACGTTGACCGAATGGGACACTTGTGAAATGATCTTTTGTATTCATTTTCTCACTTGAATCAGTGGTGAATGGATAAATGGTTGATTTAATTAACCGAAAGATCAGGTTTTACTCCACGACACGTGTTATGTAGATATTTCCTCTTATTATTATGTATATATCCTATGCCTTTTTATACATTTTGTACTTAAATAAAAGCTATTTTTTCGTAATAGTTTCTTTATTTACGGTCTCTCGATACTTGTTGATTGATGGTTACAATTGTCAGTGGTAAATTCCTGTTGCTATTAAATTATATGCTAAAGAAAGAGAAAAAAATTGAGATAATGGGCCTTTTTCCCAGGTGAAATAATAGTCTACTATTACGGAAAAATGAATAGAATCATAGAAGAGATTCACACTCCATCGGGAACCATTTGCGCCCACAAAATGACTCCCAAATTATACGAAAATGTCAACACACTCATCTCCCAATCGTATCTATCAACATATTCACAGTGAAAGTTCATTTGAAAAGAATTGGAAAGTGTCCCTTCCCATCCGAGACACTCACCCAATTGAATTGAATTCAAACTCATTCCATTCGAACGTCGGAAGCAGATGGCGCGTCATCACCTCCAATGAGTATTCACCCTAACCCCTCACCAACCCGAGCCCCGCCGAGATGACCCGAGTCCACTCAATAACGTCACGACGTACAGAGTGAAGATAAAACAGCCAAAAAAACTTTAGAGAATAATTTAGTGCGTGGTAATACGTGTGAATATTAGATCCCAAGTTAATTAATTGTTTTTAGAAAAATGTCTTACGCTTATCTATTCAAGTACATTATAATCGGCGATACAGGTAATTACGTGATTATTTACAACTGTGCGTGAGTTTGTAGCTATGATTGAGCCATGCATTTTCTATTACGTCTCCGTGACAGCTATGTTTTCGTTTCCCTTCAGCTGTTAACACTTTTTCCAAGCTATCTATCCTTTCTCAGTGAGAGTTGTAGCCATCTCGTGCCCTTTTTACATGTGAACGAAGAAATCACGAGCTGATATAATGAATTATGCTCGAGAGTATTTGTTTCCACGGTTGGAAGGATATTTTCCTTGTTTTTGTCGAGAGATAGCATCCTCCAATGGCTTTTGTTTGACACTTTGGAGTGATTCACACTCCAATTACAGTTCACAATGGCCCAAGAATTATGAGATTTATCATTATCTGTGTCTGCAGATGGGCACTCGTGTACAGAGCATTAATGCATTTTGTTATTTGACACTTGTGATGCATTTGAAAGGTGTGGTATCGATCTGTTGGGCTCATGTACCCTATTTATTGCTACAGGAGTTGGTAAATCGTGTCTGCTGCTACAATTCACTGATAAACGATTTCAACCAGTTCATGATTTAACAATTGGCGTTGAGTTTGGCGCTCGTATGATAACCATCGATGGAAAACAAATAAAATTGCAGATATGGGATACGGTAATGAGATTGTTTGAGGGAGAGGGAAATTGTGGTTTTGTCCTTGTGGCTAGTGGTTTATGTGCTCTCTAAGGCTTGAAATTTGTTTAACAGGCAGGTCAAGAGGCTTTCCGCTCCATAACAAGGTCCTACTATCGCGGAGCTGCTGGTGCACTTCTTGTTTATGACATTACTCGCAGGGAAACGTTCAATCACTTGACTACGTGGCTCGAGGATGCTCGACAACACTCAAATTCAAACATGGTGATAATGCTGATTGGCAATAAGAGTGATTTGGATGCTAGGAGGGAAGTCAGGAGGGAGGAGGGCGAGGCATTTGCACGGGAGCATGGACTTGTGTTCATGGAGACCAGTGCCAAGACTGCTGCCAATGTTGAGGAGGCATTTATCAATACTGCTAAGGAAATCTATGAGAAAATACAGGAGGGCGTGTTTGACATCAATAATGAGGTTTGATTCTGGGGTTATTATGTTATTTGCTATTTTGGGGGGGTATTGATCTCAGGGTTGAGGTTTAAAGGGGAAATGCGGGGGACAGGTTTAGCAGAGGATGAGAGATGAGCTTTGCCTTGGGTTAATATCTTTGAATTGGAGGGATCTGTGGGGGGCTCTGTGGGAACTACTTTTGTGGAGCCAAATGAATTCAAAAAATTAATGAAACGTTACCACATTTTTCCCCGAAATTTTCGGTACACTTCGTGGAAATTTTTTAGAACATTATTTCTCGGGAATTTTAAAGAATTTGTTCATTGAAAATTCGAAATTTCATGGAAAAATCACTGAGAATTGTCAATTTTAGATCAATTATTCCCAGAAATTTCAGGCGAATATATTCTGGAATTTTTAATTAATTCAAAATTTAGCGTAATTCGTCACTTAATATTCATATTTTAATTCAAAATGCACGTAGCCTGGGGAATTCTCGTCTACTCCCAAAAATTTCATGATTTTTTCCCCCTAAATCGACTCTGTCTAAAATTAATAGTCCATTTTCCATAAAATTTCAATTCCAGCTGAAAAACTGGACAATTCATTCTATTCCCCAAAAACTTTCAATGAATTCAAAATTATGTAGCATCATTCCAAAGGCATTCGTTTCCCCGACACATTTCATAGCTCACTTACGGAAACGACTAATGAGTGTGATAAGATGCTATTCTCTTCCATGATGACATGGTTTGAAAATCCATTCATACCTTTCCCCTTCAATTTCAATAGTTTTTCATGAAGCTCTTCTGCGTCAAAATCTTGTACATAATGAACAATGAAAACTGGGTCAAATGATTCACCGTGTAGTAACAGAAGTGCTGGAAAACTGAGCGTGAATCCACTTATTGCTGTTTCATATGTGAAATTCCTGAGATAAAGCCTCTTGCAAAGTTGATGAAAGTGCCAGGGGAATGCCATTTAAAATACCATGAAACTTTCAGCGGTTTTCCCAATGCTCTTGTAGCACAATTCAACTCCGTTGGCTACATAATTAAAAAGCTTTTCCACGAAAATGATTTCAATTAGTCCGCAAGTCCATGAGTATAATACAACGAAATAGCCTCTGACTCAATTAAAAAAAGGAAGGGATTTTTCTTTCATTCATCATCCCTGCAGTTTATGAAAGTTCCCTGAGATGTCAAAAACGTTCGTGAACAAATTCATTACAACTCCGAGTCAAAGAAACTCATCTTAAGGCATCCACTTTGTATATATTCCAGTAATGTGGAACAGTATGAGGAAAAACTTTATGAAGAGCCTCGTTATCAAAAAGAGAGTCTTGAAACTATGCATAAAAACTTCTCTTCCAAGGGAGGAGAAAAAAATGTATTAAAACTGTTTACAGGCGAGTGAACTCTGAAGCTATCCATGGAGAAGTTCTTTAAAACTCTTCTGTACCCAACTTTATCATTTTTCATTGTACAAATCCTATAAAAACAGTTATTAACATTTTTATGTGGATAAAAACTTAGAAATTAGTCTAATGAAGATTGAAATGACATGAACAAGTATCTTAATGGTATGATTATCCATTTTCAAAGGCAAATGGAATAAAAATTGGACCCCAGCATTCTCCAACAAGTCCAGGCGGTCTGTCCGGCACTGGGGGCCAGGGTAGTGCACAAGGTGGTGGCTGCTGCTAGGGGCTGGGGGTAGCCTGTCCGCCCCTTCATCCAACTTCAATATAAACTAATCATTCCTGCTCCACCAACCACCAGAACTAAATCAATTACCGAAAATTGAGAAAAAGCAATTTTTAATTTATGAGAAATGAAGGAAAAAACCTGTTGTGTCACGAGGTTTTATTGTCGCGTTCAGGTAACGAGTGTAAACTATTTATTCATTTAATAAATGATGAAGATTGAAATCTAACAATCTCATAGTGGAATATGTAATCCAAGTCTGAGTTTTGTATATACGCATTTTCCATGGATAAATTAATCCAATGCTTTGTGGTAGAACTTCTTGGGTTATCGATGGAGAGTCCAATGATTCGGGCTATGGGAGGGTGTAATTCCACGGTTTACTATAAATTTATTATCGAATAAAGTCAGAGAATATCTGAATTAATCAGTCAACCTGTGGAGGGATAAATAATTAAATTAATCATGAATAAATCAAAATTCAGTAATTGGACAGGAGTAAGAACTTAATAGAGCAGGAATGTCTATCACTCGTCCACCTAACAGAGCGACACTATGTATATGTATGTGTACCTATTGGTGTACCTAAACGAGAAAAACAAAACGATGAAAATAATACTAATTTTCTCGAATAACTTTGAGTTCTTAATGATCATTTAGCTTGAACAAGTGTAATCCAATTTGACGTTATCATTTTAAATAGAAAATAAATTGCCTAACATCACTGTCATAATGGTAATTCTACCAGTGACTCAAATTCAGGGCTGGGATTAAATTAATGTAAATTTTAATTGAAAAAAAATAATCAGTTTGCGTGATCCACTCTCTTTGTATTTCTTATTTTTACTTAAAATGCCCAGATCTGTGGGGTATCTTTGCTGAAAGAGAAATGATGTAATTTTTGATCAGTGGGTTATCAGTGTAAACAATTGAAAATGCAATAATTAAATGGACATACTTATTGTATTGCTTTCAAATACTAGTCAATTTAAATTAGACTCTAAGTCCATTTCTCTCATTCAGACTAACATATGATGAATCATTCTCAGATCGAAGTGAAATAAAATTATGAATAAAACATACAGGCAAAAGGATACAAGATGCTTATTAATAAAACAATTATACATCGCTACTTTCACCAAAGACACCCTGTAATTTGATAAATACTTATATATATTTCATGTAAGTTGATTTAATATATGTATACATGAACAACTAGAATTTTTTATTATCATTTCCTTCCATTTCCGGTGAGCTTATCACGATCTATTAAATTACATAAGCAATACAAAAATATCTCGATTCAACCCTTTTTCAGTGAATGCTCTCCCGTACCTGAATACCACTCACACATCTCGACTCCATAATTATGTATCGAATAAAATCAATAGACAGTCAACACCCCACTGCACGTGTGCCAATTTGCACATCTCGATTTCAAAAAATCACATTCCTTTCTCTTTTGAAATGACAAGTGTCTGCCGCTGCAGTCAAAGTGTTGACGTCAACGCCTACGTGACGCAGTTGCATCCGGATACAGCTGATTTATCAAAAGTGCATTATACCGCTGGCTTTTTCACCGTAAAATGTCGTGATTTTCATAACTAATCAAAGATCATCAATAAATAGCACGAAGTAGTCGAATGAAGTTGGATCGAGGAGTTCCATTAGTCGTTTCTGGGGGATTTGTTTCGCAGATTTATCTATTACGTGGGATTATCAAACACTGCCAGACACCGTGTGTCAACCGAGACGCTGTTAGACGCCATGATGGTAGGTGGAACTTGTTATCACTTCGTATCAGGCCGGTCATTCTATTTTCCACATTGACTCTTAGTTCTGGGAGTTGCATCAATTTTCGGGGGTAGATTCGTCAATTTCTCTGGTTTTTTACTCAATCGAACATGTTGCAGGACGGTATATGTGATAATGCTGATATTCTCAACAGTGCACCGCCGAAAAAGGTTGGTAAATTTATTCCAAGTGTTTTGTCAATTAGAGGGCCATTATCTAGCTCCATTAGAATAAATTGCGAGGCCCCTTTTATTTATCGGGGTGAATTGCATTTATCATTTGCGGTGATACGGTTATCCATTCCCATGTTTACTTTTAGGTTATTCAAGCGGATAATATTGACCTGTCAGACAAGTCACTGCAGGTGGATATATCAGACGCACTGAGTGAAAAGGATAAAGTCAAATTTACGGTGCATACGAAGACCACTTTACCAGAATTCCAAAAATCCGAGTTTCTGGTTGTTAGACAGCATGAGGAGTTTGTCTGGCTGCATGATAGGTTTGAGGAGAACGAGGAGTATGCTGGATATATCGTAAGTCGTCCGTTAAAAATGGGAGATAAATCGTGGACGAGGGAAATGTCAGGGTACCTGTTTTTACATTTTTATTTTTGCTTGCAGATTCCTCCGTGTCCTCCGAGGCCGGACTTCGATGCTTCTCGTGAGAAACTCCAGAAACTCGGAGAGGGCGAGGGCACCATGACGAGAGAAGAATTCACGAAGATGAAGCAAGAGCTTGAAGCGTAAGTTTTGACTTTAACTCAACAGGACGATTGACGACTTGTCAAATGTTGTTGTATGGGAGTTTGTTTCAATGACGAGGGATTTTAGAAGTCCCCAGGGATGCTTTTTGTTGGAAATTTTGGTCACTGCAATCCATGCAAATAAATAACATCGTAAATTACAAAAAAATGTTTAGAGGCAGAAAAATTTTCTGAAATTTCCCTTTACAACCTTTTATCCACGAAATTAATGAACAATTTCATCACTCGATGCCAAATTGCCTCAATGATTCAGAGTAGAATAGTCACTCCTTCATTATTCTCATAAATTCCTCCATTCCTGACCAGGGAATATCTGGCGACATTTAAGAAAACCGTGGCCATGCACGAAATGTTCCTAACGAGACTGGCCCACCACCCGGTCTTTCGAAACGATCACAATCTCCGAGTATTCCTCGAGTACGATCAAGACCTCTGCGTTCGTGGAAAAAATCGGATCGAAATGTTCGGGGGACTCGTAAAATCCTTCTCAAAGACGACCGACGAATATTACCTGTCAGCCACCGTCAAGGACGTCAACGACTTCTTCGACCAAGAAATGACATTCCTCCAGCAGTACCATAGCAATCTGAAGGAGGCGACCACTCGATCCGATCGTCAAACGATGGAGCACAAGGACGTGGCCGACTCCTACATAAAAATTTCAACGAATTTACTGCAATTAGCGACCACTGATTCCGGAAAACTCGAGAGATTTCTCACTAAAATTGCGGAGACCTTTGAGAAATTACGCGTCAGTATTTTATCTTATTTAATTAGTTGAAGTATAATATGGATACTTTTTACTTTTTTTCAACTGTTAATAGCTCACTGAAATGGTTTAATGAACCGGGATTTTTTTGTCGTAAAGTACAATTCCTCGTCTTTGTGACGAGTCAAATCTGAGGTCAATTGATGAATTTATTCTCCACTGAGAGAAAAATAGCAGTATTCTCAAATAAGTCTTACTTGTGAAAAAAGAATTTTTTTGTGTCAAAGATGCGAAGCTTGTGCCGAGATTGAAAACTTTTAGTAGAAAAGTAGATTTAGTCTTTTCAAAAAAATATTATTCTCTGTGCAAGCAAGAAATGTCATTTCTAGCACTACTTCTTGGCTATTCGATGCTCCCATACGTATGTTGCTCCCGATAAATACTCGTTTTATATGAAACGAGGGATAGTAGTTTGTCATTTCGGCCATTCGATAATTAGAGATTATTAAATTATTCATGTTTGAATATTAAGTATTAATTATCAACTAACGATTTTGTTGGGACAAATAGGACTCGGTGGTTTCCCTCCCAGTTTTGAGTTATGAATATTTTAAAACAAATCAAAAATGTCCATTTTGCCCATCCTCGACTAATTCATTACCTTTGAGGATTTATTAATTGCAAACTTTTGAATTTATTTCTGCAGAAAATAGAGGGTCGTGTGGCCTCCGATGAGGATCTCAAATTATCAGATACTCTTCGTTATTATATGCGAGACACAGCAGCGGCCAAACGACTGCTCTTCAGAAGATTGAAGGCTCTCCACACTTACGAAACTGCGAATCGCACTCTGGAGAAAGCTCGAGCTCGTAACAAGGATGTTCATGCGGTAAGTTTCAATTATAAAATATCCTCCACATTAAAAAAATTCATTCCGAGTGTAAATAATATATTAATAAAAACTTTGTTTGTCGTGCATGACTCATCGCACTAACATGACATTCTGCAATAAGAGAGTTGAATTTACTATTCAATAATTGTACTTAATAGCGTAATAATAATTAATACTGTAAATTTATTAATCGAATTTGTTCCGGCTCCTTCAGGCACTGGAGGTTGCAGAGGTGTGTGCGTTATTATTTTTTAGTTATTGTTATAAAAAATCAAGAAACTATCACCAATTGCACTTTGTGGATATAAATGCCACATTATGCTAATGCTATTACGATACACTAATTCATTCGTCCTGCCGTTTATTATCCATGATCAATAGACACTGCATGCATAATTTAATTGAATATGCATTATTGGAATATGAAAATTTGCATGTCACTCAATAAATATAATTGAATTGATATCGTTTGTTTTAAATTTAGGCTGAGAAAGCACAAACTGAGGCTTGTGAGAAATTTGAGCAGATGTCAGAAAAGGGAAAAGAAGGTTTGTCACCACTTTGTCAGTGAATTTTAAAACGCTATCATATTGATTTTACTGAAAATAATATCCACCCCCATTTTGTCTGAATTGGTAGAGCTGACGGATTTCATGACGAGGAGAATAGCTGCCTTTCGTAAAAATTTAATTGAGCTAACTGAATTGGAAATTAAACATGCCAAGGTAATAAATTTAGAAATTTTGGCTAACGATCGATCGCCACTCGATTAATGTTTGATTATTTTAAAAAATCTATTTTCACCACCCAGGCTCACGCTGAAATGCTCAAGAAGTGTCTCCTCTTCCTTCGGGAAGAGTGATTCAATTCTCAAATAATCCCATCAATAGGATAAACGGAGATAAAGGCGATGGAGAGAACGGGGAGAGGTGCGTTTATTCAATACAATATGTAAAATATATTTTTCTGTTACTGGCAATCATCATCTATGATTAGAATAATGCCGAAATGATGAAGGGATTTGTAGGTGCAAAGCGACTTTTTTACAAAATAGAATTTCTAACGAACGAAGGAGAAGAATATAGTTGATAAAAACAATTTTGCTGGTACAACTAGCTGTAAAGTGCTTTGATAACGAAAGTACCATTTCATTATGAGGATTAAACAATTGTCAAGAACGTAATCTCCTCTTTTGCATTATTGATACCAGTTTGTATGAAAAAAATAATTCCACTATGACGTTCTAAGATAAAATCTGTATAGTGTTTAAGATTATTCTTCATCCTATTATATCATTATGTTATTCTTTTTTTTTTAACTAGGTCTCTTTATATTATTGATAGAGAGAATATATATAAATATATGTTATGTAAATCATTCGAATCTACTGCTGTATTGTAATAAAGACCAATGGTAGAATATGAACTAATGGCTTTTTTAATTTTACTGCTAATGGGAGGAGTGAATGGGTGAGGTGAATTGATGATTTTTATCTCGATTTCGTACATTTTTATTGAATTGAATGGTTTTTTTTTCTATCATACATGATTGCAGACATATACTGAGAAATGTTTTTTTTCGCTTTTCTTTTCTTTTAAGTTTTGTAAGGATGTTTATTTCTTTGAGAATTAATCTGAAATTCCACCATAATTATACCATATATTTTCCACCCAGTCTTTAAAAGAACGTCTCAGGACATTTGCTCAATTACCTTCATTTATTTTCTCACTAGAATAACCAAGTTATGCCACTGGACATTATTTCTCGACAGGTGCCAATTACTCATCATTTTTCTTTTCTCTTATTATTAACAGATTCTATGTATATTCTACATATAATTGTGCACAGGCGGCCGAGTATATCACGAGAGAACGATAAACCCAAACGCCTGTACACTCTGCAATTGTCTTTAAATTCAATAATTGCAATTTTTTCTTCCATAATTTGTGATGCTTTTCATTTTTTTCCAAAAAAATTTATCGGAGTAATTTTCGATGAAAAATTGGAAATCAAATATTTGTCTAAGTACAAAGAGCCACTCAGCAGTATCTGGAAATTAAAACTGGAAGATGAAATGGATTTATTCTGTGTATTGAAGACGAAATTCGTGCCCATAGCAATTTCCAAATGCACCCCTAAGCGTTCTTTGTTTTTCTTTTTACATTTTTACGAAAAAACTCATGATCCTCCGTGATCCTTCGATATTGAAACTTCGTCAGTCAAATTCAGTATCGAATCAACTTCTCCCAACTCCGAATAAAGCTTTTATTGCGCAATGCATCAGTTGTTTAGGAATTTTTCATTAAATTTTTTCTCTGTATGATTTATGTACAATTTGTTGAAATCAGTTCTCTCTGTGATAAATAATTTATATTGCCTCGATGATAGACGATTTGCATCCTCTCTTGTACTTTCAGTAAATTCAATTATCAAGATTAAAACATAACAAGATAACTCCACTTTTATTCTGTTTCTATACAACAATCGTTGAGTCCCATATTTTTCGCATTTAAATTTTGTCCCTCACTTTCTTAATCATATACCGTGTCTTTTTAATATCTTCCAAACCCTGACGCTCTAAATAATAATCATTAACAATAATTATGTAAAAAAACATCTTAAAACGATAAGAATTCGTTAAAATTTACAACTTCAAATATTAATTGCATTTTCTCATTTCTCGCTGGCCCATTTGTCATCCCTCCATTTCTCATTTCTCATTTCTCATCCATTTTTCTTATAATAAAATTTCTTACCCCTGAAATACCCATAGTATATAAGACATACATAGAATGGAATGATGTGAACGGAAGCGGATGTTTCTTAAGCAAAAAAAACTATTCTTTACTGGGTCAGTGTATTGTTCATTTCTTCGTAGTCCCCATTACTCTCTCAATCGAGCTGATAAAAGTTGATCCAATCCTCCCATCTTTTTCACTCAATAATCACGTTTATATCTCACTTGAAGTACTTAACATTAAATTGTTTTTTCTTCTCTCTCAATAGGAATTTTCCCCCCAATTTTTTATATTTAAAATTATTATACACTTGGAGACGGATCTGACTTTGTGATACTTGAAGTTCCAAAACGAACTGTCAAATGATAAATAAACTCTCATTGTCAGCATTAAAATTTTCGGGAGATTTTTAAAAATTCAGTGGAAGCCACTCTGATAATTTCCGGTAATCCCGCAGTAAATCCATAATTCCCCCGGTATGCTCGGCATTATGAATTGCTAAAATTCTTATTATTAACTCGAGTACTATCATTAATTAATCATTGTTCCACGTGAATAAATTTCTCTGTTTTCATGTGCCGAGCGCCATTCCCCTCGCAATTCACGTTTTATCCTTGGGCATTTGAAATTTACTGAGGGTCGCCACAGATAAAATTAAACTGTACAATAATAAAAAATCACTGCTCGAATCGTCATGTAAATAATTCCATAAAACATTCAGTAATGATCAAGTGGGCAGCATTGCCCTTGTAAATAATGTTTCCCATCAAATTTAATACTCGTTTAATTCACTAGAAACGGTGAAAAGGAGGTGGGGTAGCGATAAAAAATTAATTGACGATGTCGACATTGATCGACAGCCGCGTATTCCAATCTGTTTAATCATTAAAAACCCGACCCTCGGATATTTTTAATGCTGTCGACTGGCTTATTCGCTCAGTGGCCCACTCCTCGCACCCTCGACCCATAAATCTTATTGCATTGAAAAATTCACAACACTGAAATTTTTTTTATCCCCCCCACTCTAAAGGCCAACAACTAGGACCCAGTGACAGTCGTCAAATCCTTTGTGAATCGTTACCCCCATATGTCTTAACATCCTGCAATGAAATATGGACCGAAAGCCAAAACTACATCTGAAAATGTTTTCATCCTGAAATTCTCATGGAAAAAATCGATGACAATGGTGTCCAATTTGTATTGAAATATTTATTTACATAAATTTCCGTGTTCCTTCGTTCCGCGAAATATTCACCAATTAAACACGGAGCACTCAATTATTTTCTGTCAAGAGTCCTACAAAAAACGACTGAACAATTTTGTTGTTATCATTTCTCATGTTCGTTAAATCAATGAAAAAAATGACAGAATCGTGGATTCGATATTTGGGAATTATCTGTAAAGTTATTTATGATCAAAAAAACGAATAAATGACAGTAATGGACATTGTGTGTGGTTTTTCTGTTTTTATTCGAATGAAAATGCTTATCGCACTAAAACAGCGCCAGTGACAATGAGCGCCAGTATCAAACTACCCGATGTCCTCTCTCCGCTGGACGTTTTACGGCGTTGAATTGCCGCCATTTTATCGCCTGTGGAATAAAAACAATTAACAATAAATAAAGAAAGTTAATAGGGAGATGGGTATACACGCTGAAAAAAATGACACGTGACAATCAGTATTCAATGTCAATTGTCGCTCAATCGAGCGTGAGCGCTTGAAGTGTCCGACGCAGACGATAAATTGATCAGATTAAAAAGCTACATCTGCATGATTCTCAATAAAATTTAAATTCAGCTCGGCCAAAATAATTATCAATTACGGTGTCAACTCATGCGAGAAGTTTGTATCGAGTTTGATGAGAGTTTATAAGTGAACTGTTGATTATAATTAATTGAATTGGGATGTTCAGGTGCAATTGGGGATGCGAAAAAATGGCGTGACATGTCGCTGAGCGGTCACGTCGTGAGATCGTCGTGAGACGGACGGGAATATGACAGCCTCTGGCCATAGGACAACATTGTGAATATTATAAACAATTTGCTGTCTGACATTTAGGAATTGCAAATGACTTCCAGTTTTTTTCGTCATATGGCAAATTCGTGGCAGTCGTTTTTTGACATTGTCACTGCTATTTAGATGGCATGTGACGGTCTCATAGGATGTATGTCACAAAAACTGTCATAAAATTGAGAAGCTAATTTGAAATTTCGAAATAGTATATTTTGTCATAACGCCACGCGCACGGAGAGAAATATCCAATAAAAATTACGTATCGTTTCCGTAATTACGGAGCGAAATGTGAAAATTTTACGGAACTGTCACGGAATTTTTCCAGCGCGTTCCGTAATTCTTATCTGCATCTCCTGTGAAAAATTACGATACCGTCACTTAAATGTTCTGAGTCGATTCCGTAATCGGTGAGCGAATTGTGAGTTCCGTAATTTTTCCTGAATATCTCTCCGTGCGCCTTTTGAGCCAAATATTTCGTTACTGTTGAAAGCAGAGTAATTATTAATTTTTGAGACTTTCAAATTCGAACCAACCAATTATTTTTTGGTAATTCTCAACTAACGATTTTGTTGGCCCAAACAAGACTTGTTTGAGAACTTGTTCGTTTTTCCCCTAGTATAGCTCGCCGAAGGCGAGTGCTACCCTCCCGAGGGTGACAGAACACTTTTCCCTCGAGTGTCGAACCCTATTCTTCGTCACAAAGTGTGGAAAGTCGGATTTTGTGCACGCGTAACGTGCGAAAAATCTCACTTTACGCAGAAGTGATGAAAATTAATGACTGTCTGTCACAATACCAGGGAAAAGTACAACTGAAATTGACATGAGAAAAATTGACGTCACATGATCGTCACATCACGTTCATTTCCCTTCTGACCAGACGAATTCTAAAACGTGACGTCATTCCGTCACCCTGACGGTAATTAATTAAACACGACAAAACAAATATAGAATTGAGGAACTTGCCTTCTGTCACAAAGACGTAGATTGAAGCTGACTTTGTATTTGAAGCACTGCACGTGTAATTTCCCGTATCCGATTCAACCGCTTGGCGAATTGTGAGTCGACTCTGAGTTGGTCCTGGCTCAGTCAGTAAATTGACTGTAGCGCGCGCAGTATCGTAGTTTATCATCCGGTTATTGTGATACCAGAATACATATTGCGGCGGCGTTGGACTCTGTGAATACCAGGAGAGGTTTATGAGACACATTTTGGGGAAATATCATTCACTGATGGGCATTCAGAGGGCTGTCATCATTGGGGGCACGGGGATTAATTTTTCTTTTGAAGCGTTGAATCGTTGGTATTGACACTTGTAATGCGGCTAATTAATTGGCAGCAGGGAATGGGAAGGGGGTAATTATTAGGGCGAGTTTGGCGTTAATTAGGAATGCCGGAGAATTAACCGGCGTGCGCCAATATCTGTGATTTATGCTCGGGTGAGTCCGGACTTTTCGGTTGATAATGGGGCTATCGATGAGAGAATTGAGATCGTGTTCAGGTACTTGTTAGGGTCATTCAGCTGCAACGCAATATCTTCAGCTTTTTTTTCATTGTTGATACACTGCAGTTTCGATTTTTGTGGGGCAAATTAAGAGCTACGAAGAAGGCCAATACAAAAATTTCGATATCTCCCTGAGACTCGGAGATACTCCTCGACAACTCAGCTGAGAGCCAGATCAACTTGAGCGATAAGGGTACCCCTTCATATGTTGAATTTTGGAATTGTTCTCGTGTCCATAGTTATTAAGTTTTGGAAAGCTAGAAACTTCAGGCACCGCGAAATATAGTAATGGAGTGATTGAAGTTCTTTGGTTTCCAAAAATTTATAACTGTGGACACGAGGAAGATTAGACAATTCAACACGTGCAAGGGGTATTGTTACATCTTAAATCATTTTCCTGCCTCGAAGTGTTGGTAATTGTACGGTGATTGATTCTCTAAACGAATTTGAAAATTTTCGTTTTATCAGAAAATGGAGAGACTCAATTTCCGACATGAAAGAGAAATTTCATACACAATTTATCCTCCAGTCCAATTCAATTTTAATTAATTTTCAACAGTGTAGGTTACACTGGTTCAATATTTTGCGAAACTCTCGAAAATGCCCGCTGGATGTAATAGAGTAACAACCCATCTGCAATATCCCCGAGCCAATCGTCGGCGTTGATAGGGGAATAAAAAATTCATATGAAACATTACTCAATTTGATTATCAAATGATCATATGATTTTTAGTCAGCCCGATGAGAATCCAAGGCGAAAATCGGCTCGATAACGATCGAGATTCGCATGATGTCCTAAATCGCGAATTGATTCAGATTTCAGTTCAAAACGAAAGTGGATTTTCGCATAGTTATTGAAAGAAACCCTCAATGATCCCGAATATTCACGTATAATATGACAAGGGGGATAGAGGAACAATCAGTTGAATACCGTATAGGCCATACAAAATAACGGCAGATGATGCAATTCCATTGGCTGAAATTCGGACGGGAAAATGGTCAAAGTAAATCGCCAATTGCATAAACGATTCGGATGCAATCCCTTTCGATTTTCATAAATGTTCAACGTTATAGTTTTTAACGGTTTAATAGATCACGAAAATTGTCGGAATTCCCCTTTGGACGCAACGCAATAACAGCCGATATTCCCCAGCTAACTGTGGGCGGTGATAGGGGAATATTCAATTCACATTAAAACTCACTTCATGTTCCAAATCGGAAACTTTTGATCTTTTAAAAACTCGGTGATATATCCAACATGGAATGCGACATGGTAAGATGCCCGATAGACGGACATGATGAAGACTATTGTCTTAAATCCCCAATTGGTTCGGATTCCCGTTGGATTGGCTGATCAATTTTCAGTTGTTTAAGGAAAACTCAAATTTTCACGATAAATCAGAAATTTCATTGACAACTGCCCGTCACATTGTTAAATTCTCCACGAATTTCTGATAAATTTTCTATATTATATTTTTTACTGTTTTTATATCATAAAAATTCGAAATTCAAAAGCCTATCACTTTAAACCGTCAATTTATTCAGATTGTAGTTGAATGAATGACGATGAATATTTACAACAAATTTAACAATGTCAATATTTGTTGAAAATTACAGGACCCAAGTATCCCAAATTCTCAAAATAAATAAAAAATTTAATAATGTGAAATCCAATTCAGTTTTTACAAATATTCGACGTTGTGGTTCTTACAGATACCACAATTCACGAAAATTCTCGAAATTCCCCTCGTCATGCAACAGAATAACAACTTATTTCCAATAAGCCATTCAGATTTCACGTGAATATGATTACGAATTTTCACAACTAATTGAAAATTCCCACATTTGTTGACAATAAAAACTCAAGAATTGCAAATTTTCGACCTAAATAAAGAAAAACATAAATAATTTAACCTAAAATCCGATTTAATTCTTCAATTTTAATAAAAAATATTCAGCATTATATTTTTTACTGCTCTAATAATTCTCGAAAACTTTGAAATTCCCCTCTGAATGCAACAGAATAACAACCCATCTTCAATATTCCCCGACCGCCAACTGTCAGTGTATGTCGTTGAGCGATTATTACGAGTTACCAGGAAGTTTTGATTGCCACCGGTGGTTTTGCAGTATTAGTTATAAATTCGTTGGCTACAGCTGCAATAGTTTTACGTGCTTGCTCAATGCTTAGCAGTGTGTAACATAATCCAACGAGACAATTTTTGTTTCCCGTTGACAACAAATATTGCATAGACGGTGTGCCGACTTTATTGGAATACAGTTTCCCTACACTCTACTTCTGGTCTTTTGTTGTGGAGGGTGAATTATTTCATGATGAATATGAAACGCTCGGGTTCTTTCGTTATTGTACTGTGCATCTGCTGGGATAACTTCGTAATTCAGGAGAATGGGAGGGTGGGGGGCTTAACTGACGTTTAACCAAGGGATGATGATTTAACTGAATTCCCTCTCTGATAGTATATTGTTGTAATATCTGCAGGATATTATCTCTGATGTAAATTTCTCATTTGTGATTTTAATAAAATAATGAAATTATCACTGGTTCGTTTAACTGTCTGCATATAGGAGCATTCAAATATTACGTCAGGCGGTTTTTTGGATTGTCACAAAGCCCATGATAAGCTCCCCGCCCCCAGTTATGCCGCATTTTTTAATTTATGAAATACACCGAGGGGAAAATTTCCTAATATGTCAACCATATTTCCTTGAGACAAATAAATTATTTTCAATGGCTTCAATCTCAGAATGTTTGCGCTTCACAATGAAATATGAATTATTCTGTCACGCATGTTGAATTTTCCCCCGCATCTATTTACCAAATAACATTAAAACCTGGGACAAATGATCCAGCCCCAAGTGTCCCCTATTTTCACAAAATAGTATCATAAAATTGATTCCAGATGTGGCGTGTAGGAGGCGGGGGAGAGACGCCGTGAAAATTCCAATTAGTTTAATCAGACCGAGAGAGACCCCTTTCCTGCTCCACTTTCCATCTGATAAAAGTACTGGCCCCACCATCCTCAATATTCATCGATCAACTGCCACGAAAGTTTCGAGTGGTAAAGTCGAGTTTTTTGATACACGGAGAGAAAAATTCAATGAAAATTACCAGAAAAAAACGTGAAAATTACGCTTCGGAGCGAAATAAAATTTAATAAAAAGTGTGAGTCGGAACGGAAATTGTACGAATCGCCACGTAAATTCTACGATTTGTGCCGTAAAAATTAACCAGACTCACTGCTGTGGGGACAACAAGTCGTTCCGTAATTTTTCCCCAATGATTGGGAAATTTTACGGAACGGAACGTAGACATAACTCACCAGCTTCATAAAAATTGTTGAACGTTCAAGAATTTTTGATTTTGGAGGCACAATAAGTCGGCAAGTTTCTGTAAGATTTTACTTCTTCGGGAAAAATTACGTGACAATTTCGTACTTTGTTCGGTGATGAACCTGAAAATTCACTGAATGTTTCAGATTTCTTCTCTTCTATTCCTATAAAAATTGCCGGAAAACGATTCCCCCTTGCGGATTGCTCCGTAATTTTTACTGAAGATTTCTCTCCATGTATTTTACAGAAGATCGCATCTATTATTTCCTCAATGGACACCATCTTTTAGACTATTCCAGTGTGACCTTACTATTTTCCATCTGTTCAAGAATGAAATTTATGGTTTCGTGAATATGAAAGCCTCGTGTTACTCTTGCCCCGGGACCACATGTATCTGCGAGGTAACTTCATGACTGGACAAGTAAGCCGTGAGTTATTGCTGCACTTGTTCCCGTAATGGCTCAACGGAGTTCGTATTTTTGGAATAAATCAAGTTGCTATGAAATTTCAAATCACTCCGAGATACCCCTCATCCGCGTTATCAACGCTTTTAATAATTCGAGTGAACTTGTCATCCTGCAAGATCCCTCCAACTGTAAGACCATTCTACATTTACAGCTAGAATCATTAGGAAGGCGGACGTAACCTTAAGCTGATTAATAATGAACTGTATATCTCGCCCTTCCNCACCGAAACCTGAACTTTGTCTTTCCGAATAAACGATCGATATAATGGGAACAACTTCCTTCACGTACTTGACGCGTCCTACAGAAACAACTCAAGTGTTTGATTGAGTCTCGCTGGGTACCTGTCTACATCTATCCACCTTGAAACTTCGCAAGAAGCGAATCGATTCGAGATCTAACGGTGTTAATTGACCTGTAACATTTTGATGGTATCTTTCTCCCTTGTGACATTTGATTGACTTGTCATACAGTCATGCATTACATGTCTGCGAGACACTGTTATCCTGAATATCGTCTGTGTGGGGGCTCGAAGCGAGACGAGCAATTGATAATCTGAAGCATCCATTTACGACTCTTGATGTGCATAATCGAATATCTTAGTGACATCAAATTGTCCATAAATTCCAGTCTCCAATGTACTGGATTAAACGCTGTATTAATAACGGTTGGAGATGTTCATTCGCTCAAAACTAAGAATAATATGGAATTAAGTAAATGGCAGGATTTGAAATGTCAACATTTTTGACTCGTGACCCTTGTGATTGAATCGGTCATATCTATTCACAGAGATACTGAAAATATCATTATATTTGCGACTGCTCTATTTATTAATGCAAATTTTTGTAATGTTTCTTTGGATGCAACAGAATAACAACTCATCTTCAGTATTCTGTGATGCTGATTATTGATCAAGAGATGTAAAACTTCAGATCATTTTTTGAGGGAATGGAACAAAATGAGTCGACGATTTACGTGAATTTCCGACTCTTTTTTTACGGCCAGTGGTTATTAAGTTGTCGATGAATTAACTTACATAATACAGTGAATTAATTACGATTGATCATCTCCATTTATCAAGAACAGAGAATAACGTAGAATCAAATAAATGGTAGGATATCAAATTATGAAATTGTCCTCGCTTCTTTATGATTGAATCAGACCCATTTGTTGTCAGAAATACTCCAAATATTAGTCTCACCAATGAGTAATGGATTGTCAGCATTAAAATTTCGGCGGTTTTCACTGTGCAGGGAAATTTTCGTAATTCCACTTAAGGTGCAACAGAATAACAACCCATCTTCAATATTCTGTAATGCTGATTATTGATCCAGAGATATGAAACTTCACATCATTTTTTGAGGGAATGGAACAAAATGAGTCAACGATTTACGGGAATTTCTCGGTCTTTTATTACGGCCAGTGGCATTAAATTGTCGATGAATTATCATACATAATACAGTGGATTAATTACGATTGATCATCTCCATTTATCAAGAACAGAGAATAACGTAGAATCAAATAAATGGTAGGATATCAAATTATGAAATTGTCCTCGCTTCTTTATGAGTATTTTAATACTTAATGGGCATTCATCGTAATTACTCAATGGATGCAACAGAATAAAAACCCATCTTCAGTGTAATGTAATAACGCTGACAATTGGTTGAAAAACAGGTATGAAAGGTCAGTTAATTTTGTTAAAGGAAATTTGGAAAGAGGTGAATCGACGTTTTACGTGCATTTGTCAATCTGTTTTGGCCCGTTTTCCTAGTGAATTGAATTAACCAGGATTAGTTATCTCAAGCGAATAAATGGCAGGATATCAAATTATGAAATTGTCCTCGTTTCTTTATGATTGAATCAGGCACATCTGTTCTCAGAAATACTGCACATATGCATTAAAATTTCGACGGTTTTCACTATTCAGGGAAATTTTCGAAATTCCCCTCGAGATACAGCAGAATAACAACCCAACTTCAATATTCAGCAACGCTTCGCAACGCGTTCGCTTCAGAGATATTCAATTCATATGAAACTTCAGTTGAGTTTGTTAAGGAAGAGCAGAGCAAAATGAGACGTTTCCCATGCATTTGCCATTCTCCCTCCTTGCAAGAGGCATTCAATTGTCGATGAATTGCCGTACCTAATGCACTGAATCAAACACTGAATCAATAGCGATTACTCATCTCCGTTCGACGAGAACTAAGAATAAGATCGAATCAAGTGATTGACAGGATATCAAATTTTGAAATTGTCCTCGTTCTCTTATGCTTGAATGGCACACACCTATCCCCCAAAATACTGAAAGTGCACGGAGAAACAAAATATAATTCTGCTAATCAAATATGTTTCAGACAAGAATTTATTTATATTTATATGATACAAATTGGCAGAATTACATAATTATTTATTTTTCTGAGTGTATTAGTCTCACTAATGAGTCATGGATTTTCAGCTGTAAGTTTTATTTGAATGCAAGTTGATTTTATCAAGGGAGACCGATATTCAATTGCCCCTAAATATAAGCTTCTAATCCACTGAATTAAGCACTGAATTAACAACGATTAATCATCTTCATTTATCAAGAACTAATAATAGGATTTCGTTATATTTAAATCGGGCACATTTATTCCCGTAAATACTGCAAGCATCGTTCTCATTAATAAGCAATGAATTCTCAATATTATAGTTTCGACTGCTGTCATTGTTCATGAAAACTTTTGAAATTCCCCTTCGGATGCAGCAGAATGAAAACCCATCTTCCATTTTCAGCAGTACTTACAGTCAATTGTGTAATATTCAATTCTAGTAACTTTCGTTAATTTTGTCCGAGGCGAGTGATACTGATTGCCCATAAATTTGAGTTTCCAGTCCCCTGAAGTAACAGCGATTACTCGTATTCATTTATCAAGAGCCAATAATAAGATTCCGTTGTTTAAATCGGGCACATTTATTCCCCTGAATATGCAGGTATCGGTCTCACTAGTAAGTAATGAATTCTCAACATTTGCTGTCGTTGTTCAGAACACCTTCGAAATTCCCCTTCGGAAGCAACAGAATGACGACCCATCTTCCATATTTAGCAGCGCTTACAGTTAATTGAGGAATACCTAATCTATATGTACCTTCGGTTAATTTCGTCTAGGACAAGTGAATACTAAATGGCCCATTAATTTTACTTCCCAATCCCCAGAATTAAACACCGAATTTACAAGGATTGATCATCCGGCCAACGGCAAAATATCAAATGTCAAAATTGACCTCAGTCTTTTATGTTCAAATCGGGAATATCATTTCGCAGGAATACTGTAAATATTACTCTTACCTTTTCAATTATGCACACCAAGCTTATTATCGAGCCCACGTCGACGTGGTGTTCTTCACTCCCTAGTATAAACGCCTCTGGTATCACGACATTCAGATTCACAAAGTGTGATATTATCCCTGTACTTCTCGATACCTGCACATAAAAGTTGAAAAAAAAAATGTTTCCCATTGTTAGAAATTTTCAAGTGCTTCATAAACCGGATGCGCCTGTCCGTTCGCTGTACCTTTTGTTTCTTGTTTTCATTGAAACAAAAGGTGTTTTTTTTTATACATCTAATGACAATTACCTGACACTCGTATGTTCCATTGTCTCGTTCTTGTACGTATTTGATTTGCAGCGTCCAGCCGTCCGAGCCCTCCGAATGAAGCGCCTGGAATCGCTCGTCATTCGTATACGTGAACAATGAGCTCGTCAATACGTGCCAATCACGTCGACGTATCCAGGATATCTGTGTGTGTTTAAATGAAGTAATGTTCACACTTGTTTCTGAGTTTCGAAACTGTTTGGACAATGGTGTTCTCTCATTTCTATTTGGTTATTATGATAATTGGGGCTCTGCGCGATTTTTTTTTCTATCGTTGGATATGAGAAAGTACTTTATATCCAATGATAGATTGTTTATACAGAAATGTCTTTTTTTATTGGGATTTTGCATGATTTTGTTTATTGATGGATATGAGAATTGACTGGAAAATATAGGACAGGTATTTTTTCATTTCAATGAATAATGAAACATCGATAAGTCATCGACTGTAATTCATTCATGGTGTGGAAAGGTGAGCAAAAATTACTCGGGAGCTTTCAGACAAATTTATAATTCAAAAGGCAATCCTCGAGCAAAATGTAACTCAATAAAATGGACTCAAATTGGAGATGTTACGATTCTTTCAAAAATTGCGGCTCCCTGTACAGTAAATTTTCCGTGTGTGCCTTCGTTAGCGTAATTTTTTACGAAATTCCAGAGAAACTTCACCACTTTAGAACACTTTACCTAACTTTCAGTCATTTTTTTGAGCAAACAGAAAAAATTCACCATTCGTCTTGCATTTTTCCTTCAATATAAAGCCTGGAGGGGCTGGAATGAAATTTCGCTCTACGATTACTTGACTTTTCAGTCATTTTTCCTCAACTTTGTTCTCCGCGTTGATTTTATGTGATATCTCCGCACAAAAAAATACTCGTCTAATATTTTTCATTCAATTTTCGTATTTCATCATTTTATCGAATAAAAAAAATAATGCAACAACCCAGTCATAGAAATGAGCTAATCTTCGACAGATGATTGAATCATTTTTCAATTTACAATGAACCTTGAACTTCTCCCGTATTCTTCATTTGAATTAATGAAACTGAGAACCCCTTGGAGCACTGAATATGAAAAAGCTCTCTCTTGAAATAACAGTCTGATGGACCACTTCAATCAATACAAAAATACAGACATTTTTTGAAATAATAGAGACTCCCCAGTGTTTATTTATTCTTTACCTCGGCATCGGAGATGGAGCGCTCAGCCAAATTTCTTAATTTACAATGTAAGAATGCTGTACCACCGAGTTGTACAGTGACATTTGAGACTGTATTATTTTCATTGGCCTCATTGACTCTCTGTAGTTCATCGAGATTATTGTACCATAGTGCTCGCCAGTCTGAGGGGATGTTGTAGGGCACACGACGATCTTTAAAATTATTTTCCAATTATTCATATTACTCATTTCAATTCGATTTGAGTCGATGTTAATCCTAGGGAACAAAATTGGAATGAAAATATCATGCATAGTATATATATTCTCTTTTGAGAATGTCGAGGGTACGGGAAAGGTAAAAGGCAAAATAGGATCGATGATTTACTGTTGGAAAAGTGTTTTTGAAATTTCGAGTAAAAAGTCTTGAGATTTTTTACAAAAGACCATTTTTCATGAAGATTCCATATGTTTTTGACTGAAAATATGCGTAAGTATTTAACTACACATACACAGGGGAAAAGTTATTTTTGCTAAATAGTCATCTAGTTGAGAGAAGCATTTATTTTTTTTCAAAATTGTATTTCTCCTATCGAGTCATTCCTAGGAGAGTCTGATTAGGTTTCAATCATCACAATCGGGTTGTCCTAGAGGATGACTGTGTTGCACGTGACCTTGAATAAACTCCTCCAATGATTATTCATTTTTCCTAAATTTCTTTTTTTCTGGAGGAAAGAATTTCGATAAATTTTTAGTGTTCATAATTATTGAGCGAATTCACTTAAGGTCATAACTAACATGATCATCTTCTAGAGCAATATAATTGACATAATTGAAGCCTAATGACGATTTGCTGCGAATGACTCCTCTCAAGTAAATAAATATGTAGCAAAAATAATTTTGTTCTCAGTGAAAAAATTGTACAAAATTCACTAGAAAACAGTTGGAGATCTATGGAGCTTTCTATTAATTTTTGCAGCCTATCCACCCGTTTCCTTTCAATTGAAATGTTCAATGGAAAATACGCTATAGAAAAACGAATTAAATTCCGCCCTTCTGCACCACTTACTCTATTGAGATATTTTATATAGAAAATTCCTTAGCTCAAATTGTTCAAGTTTTTTTGTTTGATTTTTTTAATGAAAAGAAAAAAACAACTGTATGGAAAACCTTAGAAGATTCTCGTCGAGGAATTCCCATGGAAAATTTCTCAATAGAAAAATTTGTGTAGAAAGATGAGATTCTGATTTTTTTGTATAAAATAGTTTCTGTGGGACACCCTCTGGGAAAGAAAACGCGCAGTAAAGCTGCGGAATACTCCAATACAATCAGCCAAAAACTAATAGAATTTACTACAGAAGTTCAATAGCAAATTCAGTAGAATGTGCTATCCAATTCGCTAGATTTTTCTGCGATACATTCCCGTGTCTGTGAAAAGGAGGAAAAATATACGAAAAAATATTTAGGGTTTATAGACTCTCGACATTTTTTTTCATGCGGAGCGTTGATGCCATGAAATTTTTAGATCCACAAACCATGAATATCATTGGAAATTCTACAAATTCCTGACGAAAATCCTGGAAATCTCGGAGATCTCTCAACAAGAAATGCCATGATTTTATCTCAAATTGAATTAAACTTCATGAAATCAAAAATTAACACAGGGCGGTCGTTTAAATTTCGAAAAACTTCTGACAGACCTAAAGAGGTGATACGACATTCTATCATACCTTTGTCAAGTGATCGTGCTAATAATATCGTCGGTAGGATCAGAAATACCATGTACCACGACAGACGATCCCGCATTGTGATGTTGCACTGGGGTTCGCTGAAAGGTAAAAATCATTACAGTCTGCAGTTGCAATGATGCTCAAGACATGCAGGAAACCGTAATGCCGAGGAATATCAATAGATGGACTACACCAGAGCGGGTCAAGTATTTTTCTTATTTATTACGCTATAAATATCTGCCCCCGTGAGATAGACAGACACATTCTCCGCACACTGTGATTTTTCTCCGAGCTACACCGACAGAAATGTTCAATAAAAATTACGGAACTCTCAGTTCACTCAGCGATTACGGAATCGACTCAGAAAATTTAAGTGGCGGTATCGTAATTTTTCACAGGAGACTCAGATAAAAATTACGGAACGCTCCGGAAAAATTCCGTGGCAGTTCCGTAAAATTTCCTACAACCACATTTCGCCCCGGAATTACGGAAAAGACACGTAATTTTTATTGAATATTTCTCTCCGTGTATGTTACTCAACGATTCTCGTGCAGTCCCCTCGAGTAAACTAACAGTGGCTAGGACGAAAGGACACAACACAATGGAACATGTCACTGCCCCCTCAACCCCCACAAGTCGCAAACCGCCAATATGTTCCACTCAATCATCTCTCACGAGTTATACCCAGGACAAAAATTCGACAGTGGGTCTACTCCCTCATTTCCTCATTCATCAAATTCAATACAATAACTTACGAGAGGTTCGTCGAACCCTCCCCCACAACTTATGACAGGTACTAATGTCATTTCTCAAGAGCGCAAATGTTGACTGGTGATCCGGCTATCGATTGTACCCGCTAGGAAATCAAAAATAAACGCCCAAGGTGGATTGAATTCGGGTCAGAGTTGAGGACAAAACGTGACATTCATGAACGTCATTTAATCTAACTTCAGAATAGCGAAGGTGGTGTACAGAGCTGTGCGTAAACACGAGGTTTATTCCACCCCAAAAAGAAAATGAGGGCGGGCGACGGGGGATAAGGCCCATTCCCCCTGGAATATAACAAAATGCATAGGATACTGCGGTTAATCATACCCGAGTCAATAAATTTTACTCCACGAAAAGCCGGCGAGCGCGAGAGGGAGGAAGTGAGTGGAGAGTTTCTCATGGAGTCAGGGGGAGAAACGGTGAACCCCGTGAAATCGTAATGGCTGGACTCACGAGAATGATCCGATTAAACTCGTTCCCTTGCCCCCCTCCACCCCCTCGGAATACTGAAACTTATACTCCACGAGTGGGAGCTTAATTCCATCGGGCAATCATATTAATACTGGAGTACATGATTTCGAGGGGGGTTATTGCTAGTGCAAGCCTAGTTTCAGCGGCAAGTGCAACGTTTTCGAGGGGGTGGAGAGATAATGGTGCGAGGAATCGAGCTGGAATATCGTGTACACGATAGATAAGAATTATATTCGGCGATAAGGGGTGTGAGGGAGTCGTGTTGTGATGAGGCGGAAGGGGGGGGGGGAGAGGGGGTTGTGAATTTTGGGGGAAACGATCGAAACAATTGGCAGAAACGACTCACTTGTCAGGGGCCGTTAGATGGTACACGCCGCTCTTAACCGCCGGTTAATTGTACAGGCAAATGTATACGAGTTGCCTTAATCTGTTTCTTTTTTTCACCCGCTTTACTCTCCTGCGTTTTGGTTTACGGTTCAATGCATCCACACATACACGTTAAGCACAATGTCAACCCTCAAACGAGGGAGTCCACTCGGGGATTCATTTCCCCTCCTCTCTTCGTTTTTTTTTTTTTACCTCTTCGCTCTCAACCGACGTCAAATGTTTTTAGCGTGATTTTTTATCCTCCTCCTGGGTTAGACTTTTTTACTCCCCACCTACCCCACACAGACACTCGTATCCCACTCCAGTTGTACCGAGGGATTTTTTTGAAAAAAACCCCAACACTTCGATGAGTAGAGTACCAACGCCTGACAACAGGGCGCACACTTGACACACTACTTGACGCGCAATTTTTCCTTTTTTTACATTCACCTCGGCGTTTTTTTATTGCTATTTTCAATCACTTGAATTGAATTTCATGGAGCCACACACCGTCATCACTGGAGAGTGGAAATCTGTGTCGCACTTGTCACACACTATTTCTTCGGTGGGTGGTTTTATCAATGGCCCCTATCCTGTTTATTATTTTAATATTTTCATCGAGCTACTGGGGGAGGAGTGATAATGATAACCGAGAGGAAGCACGTCACGGCGTCCCGTGTCCCGTGAATCCCCCGATAAATTCTCGCACTGTTGTTTCACACCTCGTGTTTTTAATGATAACCCTGCAGTCGCACATGCACTTTTATATTCCCATCCACCTCGCGCGATTCCACAGTAACATTTGCACCGGAGGACTCAGTACTGAAAAAAAAAACAACTTCCGTGATTGAACCGAGGGAAGTCACAATCACTTCACTATTCTCCCTTCAGTGACTCGAGTTTTCACTTGGCTTGGTTTTCGTTCTCTAGTAACAGAGCCATCGATGAGTCGTGAAACGTGGAATGCAAACGAGGGGTTATTTTTTCATTTGCCAGAGATGATGATGATGATGGGGGTTACAGTTGGTACCAGCCCTATCCAGGAGTCCCTTACCCGGATCACAGTCTTTTCCTTCGCTATGGCCCCAAATGCCCCTGCACAGGCGCGAGACGCGGTTCAGAATTTTCGTGAGCAGCGCACGACGAGGGTTGTCGATTGCGTTTGGTGGGAGACAAGGTAGAGGGTGGAATGACGAGGGGTGGAGGCGCGACAGGGGGCGCGAGAAAGGTCTGTGCACACACAAGGACGATGAGATGGTGACGATGTAGATGGCGAGCAGGGGAATCAAGGGGGATGAGAAATAAATGTTGATACCACGGGGGGTGGGAGGGGGGATGATGGCGCAAGCGTTTTGGCGCACCAACGCATTGATCCCTGGAATTCGCCCGGTGGTTAGGGGATGAGGGGTGTCGAAGAGTGGCGCGGGAAGGGGCAGATGATGGCAAGAGAGAGTGAGACGAGGGGGGGGGGGAACTAAAATCCAACGGTGATGTTCAACCAGCTGGGAATTCTTTAGTAGAGTTTACTTTGGTTCATCCGACGGTCTGCTCTGTGTTGTTCATTCGGCATTTATCAACTCTCGCTTCTAAACCATCGCTGCTCTCTCCACCTCCCCCGACCGCTGATGTACCACCCACAACCCACGCTTCATCCTCAGTCTGTACAGCTACTACTCCACCACTCTCTTTATCTTGTTGGGGATATGAGGGGCGAGAGGTGGAGAGAGGGATAACGTTACACCTGACCCTCTGACTCTCGTGGAATTTCCAGATTTTCCCCCCTCGTTTTAGATCGTCTTTACGGAAATTCCTGCATCATGAGATACGTCTGATGGACATGGGAGAAGTGGAGGGTTTTTATTAGGGGAGAGACTGTGGCGCGGTGGTTTCAGAGGGCTGTTAGAGTACTCAGGTTGGAATCAATCGATGAGATTTGGGAATGGATTCTTTTTAGGGCTTTGATCCTCGGATGTTGAGAGGGTGTACATGTTTAATGGGGATATGGTTCGTTTGGGGAGAGATTGAGAGGGTCGAGCGTTCGGGTTTTTTTATTGCAAGAGGGGATGCATTTAATTGTCTGAGGGTTGCCAATAGTTTAACGAATTCTCGATCAGTAGGGGTGAGATTGTTTTGAGTGACATTGCGTGAAAATTGCCCGTTGTTCGGTGTTGAGTTTAAACTCTTCGCTTGTAACGCACCGGGAAGGACTGGCAAACATGAAAATCAGATTATCGACTGTTTGAATTTTGGTTCGATTGTTTAGAGTTATTCAACGAATGGGAATCGAGGGTTTCAGGGGCAGGGGAAGGGGAGGATGATGATTGGTTGAGGGGGAGGGCAACAGCCAATCACGCTTGCATGTTTGAATCCGCTCGAGCGGCGGGGGAGCTGATTCGCTGGCTCCAGCGGGCGCTGACGGCCATTTTTTTTTTCTCCGAGACCTAGTCCCAAGTGGCTCGTTCTGGGGAGCTGGTGAACATCTCTGCGAGTGTGAAAATGTTCTCGAGATTGGCTCTGCGTAACGGTAATTGTCAATTAACATTTTCTAGGGGGTTCATTATTAATCTTTGGTCAACCATATCCAACGATTGATTGAGTTTGATGCTTTGACTGATGAAAGGGTTTTCGGTTTCTTGGTTATGTTCCATAATATCAACTTCGACATTATGTAATGAAGAAATTTCTCTCATATTTTTTATATGATTTCATAATTGAACTGCATGAATTGTGCTAGGGATGGATTTTGCTGGAATTTGGTTCTGCTCCTTTCGTGGTTTATGGTAGACTCTCCGTTACAATAACATCTGATTGTCAGTGTGGAGAGACAGAGGGTTGGGATTCCCATGACAGTCTCATCAATCCGTGGAATTTATCGTTGAAATGTGTGAATTTCAGTGGCAACGCGTATCCCTGCTCTGGCACGTGTTCAGAGTTCAGCAGCAGCAGCACCACCTGATTTCTCGAATAGACCAGAACGTCCAGTTGAGCCAAGCCCTGTGCGTCATGGTTTCATTCCAGAGGAGTGGTTCCAAGCGTTTTACAATAAGACCGGTTACACTGGTGAGCAATTAAATAAGGATGTCTTTGGAGTTTAATGAATTAAATGACCGATAAAAATTCGTGAACACGTGACGTTCCCTCGACATTCAATATTGAGATGAAGATTGAACGAATTCACTTCCTTCTTAAGCATTCGTATAGTCAAAATTGAAAAGGCATTACAAATGATTTTATGAGTGCCTCTTCTTTTATTGATTGAAGATAGCATAAAAAAAAAAAAATTGGATTGTTGGGAAAATCCAATTTTTATAAAAGCAAGATGAATTCGAGGAATGTCTTTCGTCGAATTCAGTAATTAAGTGACGAGGAAACTCATTAATTTCGTCGGAATTTTTATGAATACTTTTTTGTAGTTCTCATGTGACTCTGAAAAGACCAAAGAAATCTTCAGGTCTCATCTGTGAAGAAACGATTCTATTGATTCAAAATGTTTATGGAAAATTGATTCTGCTGGTTAGATAATGGATTTTTCTAGATTTCGGTTCCAAGTAATTAACATTCAAAGTCATTTCTCACACATGGACCCTCATATCAATTTTTTCTAACTGAGATTCGAAACTTTTGAGACTATATTATCAGCACAGATGGTAACACAGTTTCGTGCTAAATGAGACATTATGAGAGCTGCTGTGTAAGAACTGGCTTTGATTGTTAATAATTTGAAAATTAAATCATGAAAATTTTTTAGAAAAATTCGTACATAATTCAACTGTTATTATGATCATCCTATGTGATATCAAGACTAATGTGATCATTTACATTTTGGTAGTTTTTGAATATGATTCCCCCCTCTTTTAGTTTGTATTTGCTACAGACTTCCGTTTATTAATGAATGACATGACCGACTTCCAACTCTTACATTCATTCCAACCTTTAAGAGGCGCCTCACTTTTTTCTGTTATAATGACACCTTTCACCCCATTGCTTTCAACCCTTAATGATGTTTCGACATCAATGAACGTAAAAAAATGGCTAGTAGTAGATGATTTCTTTCAAATTCATTCTTTGATCTATTGAAAAGACATACAAAACTTCATATCGCCTAGGAGCTAGACAACGACAGCAATAGTTTCTAAAGTTCCTTTATTTGCATGAGGCTAAACAGGGTATCAATAAATTCCGCATGTTTCCATATTGCCGTCTGATCGATGATGCAGAGACAATGCTAAAGTTATCATTGCCCCATTTAACCTCATGCATAAGTCGCCACTTTCGAAATTATTTCGTTTCTGTTCTGCACACGGTGTCAAGATCCCCTTTCAGATCAAAGAAATTCATGGAAAAAAATCCATTTCTACCCATTTTTTACACTCTCTGACTTCGCTGGAACATCGTTCATGAATAATTTTTAACAGATTCTAGTTGTAACAATACCATGAAATGTTAATTAACGATTGAAATAATCTCAGGCCCCTACGCCTTCTTCTTCGGTGTTACCACGTACCTCGTCTCCAAGGAGATCTACGTTCTGGAGCACGAGTTCTACACTGGAGTCTCGGTGTTCATTATGAGCGTAGCTATTGTAAAGAAATTGGGCCCACAACTAGCTGCATACCTGGATGAGGGAATGGACAAGGAAGAGGCGGAGCTGCAGGCGACCAGGACATCCGAAATCCAGTCTCATCAGGAGTTTATCGATCACGTAAAGAAAGAGAAATGGAGAACAGAGGCTCAGGCTTGGATTGTGGATGCCAAAAAGGAGAACATCAAGATACAACTGGAGGCTGCATACAGAGAACGCATCCACAGAGTTTACACAGAGGTAAACAATTCATCAATAACTCGTCAATTCATCAACCCCATCCAAACAAATAATACAGTAAAAGCTATTGATTTAATATTTATTCTCATTCCAACTTGCAGGTGAAGAAACGTTTGGACTATCAACTGCAGATTGCCAATGTGGAGCGCAGAGTTGCCCAGAAACACATGTCCGAATGGATAATAAACAGTGTATTGAAGGCGATAACACCGGAGCAGGAGAAGGCCACTCTCCAGCAGTGCATCGCCGAACTTCAGGGGCTTGCACCAAAGGCATAAATTGTTACACGTGTAGGGATAATAGAATTGATCAACAATTGGAATTTTATTTTGATTCAAAGCCGATCGGGTCTAGCGATAATGTTTGAACTTTCTCAATCGTCATTATGTAAAGTTGTAATATTGTCATTCAGTTGAAAATCGTCGCTATCGAGTTACGAGTAAATCAATAAAGATGTTACTGGCCTGGTGGTGAAAGTCAGTGTACTATCTGTCTTTTTTCATTTCTCTAACTTTTTACGCTAGCTTTAGCATGGAAAAATCGACGCAAAGTCGCAGCCGGAAATTTTACCGGAAATCTCTACAAATGTCCCTTTTTCGAAACCAAAAAACTTTAATCACTACGTTACTAGATTGTGCAGCGCCTAAAATTGTTTGGTTTCCAAAAATTAATAACTGAAGAAAAAAAATGCTCAAAATAAGTCAGCAGATGTATAAATACGCATTATTGCGCTGGCGGAAAATTTGAAAATTTGAGGGTACGTATTCTTCAAAAAAATTCCAAAAGACTAAACCAATTTGGGGATTCGTGAACCACCCTAGGGGGCGCGAATGCATCCAATACTAAATTACTAACCCAAAAATCAAAACATAATCGAGTGTGCCAGTAAACTACTGTAAACAAAGCGAAAACTCATAGGACAAGAATTAAAATTTTCTCGAAACATGGATTTGAGGAGTTTCTGCGAAGCGCTCCCCAAGATAGTAAGTAACATCGACACTCGAGCAATCAAAAATGAATTCTCATTCTCTTAAATATTTTTATAGGAGCTGCATGCTCACTTGAATGGTTCAGTGAGCCCCCAGACACTCAAGAAATTGCAAAAATTAAAGGGCAATGACGATGAATCAATACCTGACATCGAGATGTTCACATCGTTAAAAGAGTATGAGATATTTAAGAGGGTATTATGACGGGACACTCAGCTCAAAAAATTTTAGTCCGATCACATTTCGGGTTTTTCTTTGCTAATATTAACCAAAATTTTTTAACACGGCCTCGCAGTATCCCAATTCATATAACATTAGTATTATTTAATAACACTAGTTGACAATATTTCGAGCTTTCCTGTGCTTTTTTGCAGAAAGTTTCCATTTTCCCTTGAGAGGACTTGTTAACCCTTAAGTGGTCGCGCTTTTCCAGCATCTCACTCGCTCTACAGTGGCGCTCTATAGGTTGCGTATGGTTTGGCGGGGATTCCCACACGATGCGACCACTTAAGGGTTAAATTCAGTAGCGAAGCGGTAAACCGGGTTAAGTCGATTTTGACTTTTGGGCATTTTTTGACAAATATCTCGGAATCTAAGAGAGATAGCAAAATTTTGTTCATCGCCTTTTTTATAACCCTCAGTTGGCTCTACAAAAAAGGTCATGACAAAAATTTTTCTATCTCTTTTAGATTCCCAGATATTCGTCAAAAACTGGCCAACAGTCAAAATCGACTTAACCCGGTTTACCGCTTCGCTACTGAATTCTTCAAATTACTAATGGATTATCTCATAAACGGTTTTCTTTAGCCATAAATTCCGTTTACGGACATTGTGGAGAAAAATTATATTCACGCGGCCGAAAACAACTTTCCGTACTGATCTTCACTTTTCCCCAGAGATTGGTATTAGCCCGTCCCCAAACTCGTAAAAGTGAAAATCACTACGGAAAAATATCGTTCACGGCTAGTGCCATGGGGTTTTTTTACGCGCATGGTTGGCCGGTCCGAGCCGAAGGCTCGGACGCCAACTCCACGCGAGTAAAAAAGCCCATGGCACTCGCCCTGAAATATACTTTTTCTGTACTGCTTCTCACGATTTCTCGTCTGGGAATTGGTATTACATACTTCCCAAACTCGAAAACTTGAAAATCACTACAGAAAAATATTGTTCTTGAGCTGATGCGATGGGGTTTTTTTACTCGTGTGGCGTCGGCCTCCGAGCCGAAGGCGAGGACTGGCCAACCGCACGAGTAAAAAAACCCCATCGCAACAGGCCGGAAATAGTATATTTCGTAACGAGTGCAAAAAAGTGTTTTTTGGCGAGTGGGAGGTTTATATCACTCGCCTTCGGCTCGTGATATAATCCCACGAGCTAAAAAACATTTTTTCACGAGTTACGAACAATATTTTTCATCACAATGTGGCGGAAATTGGACTTTTAGGCACGCGGAGCGTGCCGAAAAGTTCACTTTTCGTCACAGCGTGATGAAAAATACTATTTCTTACTTGTGTGAACCCTCACACTCGTCAGAAAAGTTGTTTTCGGCCTTGTAATGAAAACAGCTATTTTGACACTGCTGCTACGTTCACCTGGTGCCGAAAAGTGCGTTTTCATTTACTCATAAACGAAAAGTTTACGCACAAGTGATGAAAAATACTCACAAGGAAGTTGTATTTCGCTCCGCCAATTGCGTGAATGTTGACTCCAAGCGTCCATTCATAAATTCAAAAAATAACTTTAGGATTACCCCGTAAACGGTTTTCACCCGTCATTTGAAATTTCGTGAATTCAAAATATAAAAACCTCAAGTCTGAATTTCTTCAGAATCGTCGTCACACCCTCCGTCCTCCGCCATAATATCCTTCAGTACTTGATATTTTATGTCACTCGCTCCAGAATGTCAATAGAATAACTGAGAACATTCACAGGTGTTTCCAAATGTTCAATCTCGTCCATTCTTTAACCGACACTCCAGAAGCAGTATTTCTCGCCACATGCGATGTAATTCAGGAGTTTCACGATGATAACGTGATTTATCTCGAGCTCCGAAGCACCCCGAGATCGGTGAAGGGTCAGATGACAAAGGAGGAGTACATCGAGGCCATCATCAAAGCCATTGAGTACTCCCATTGCAATATTCATTACACCCAGGACTCACAAAGCTCTCAAAATAGTATGAATATTCATAGATTAATTTTTCAGGACATGTAAATTTAAAACTCCTGGGATACTCGTTAAATTATTAATCTCAGTGAATAGAAAAGACGGATCGGCCAATGCTGAGGAGAACATTAAATTAGCGATTAAATGTCACGGAGAGCATCCAATGACAATCGTCGGTATTGATTTGAGTGGTGATCCGACGGAGGGGGAGGCTTACATTAAATTACTGCAGGATTGTCGCGACGTGGGATTAAAAATTGCTGCACATTGCGCTGAGGTATGGAGGAGATTCTTAATTTATTCATCTTACTTCGTACGAAGTAGAAAAGAGGGCTTTGATCTACTAATTTTATTTATTATCAATAGATTAGCATACATTAAAAATATTAGGATAATACTATATTATATTCTGAACTAATATCCTATAATATAGTATTACACAATACGCTTTCTAATACTATTTGTTAATCTAAACAAATTGAAGAGAAAATATTTATTAACATGCGATAATCATTCATTTAAGATTAATAGATTATTTAATTCATTGAATTAAAACATTTTCCTTCAAAGATATTGTTGATATCTATAGAAAAACATTGAACAAAGAGTTTCATCTGATTCAAATGCATCATTTCCCTGAGTGCAGGGAGCCAAAGATAGAAATTCAATGGAAATTAGAATCAATCAATTTTGCCAATCAAATTCTCATCGACAGGTTCCAAACGAGGAAGAAGTCATAGATATTCTAAACTTCAAGCCAGACCGCCTCGGTCACTGCACGAATATTCACCCCAATTTGAAAGGGACTGAAAAAATCTACAAAATGCTTCTAGACTCTCGAATTCCCGTTGGTAAGTGAACGTGCTGATAAGTCCACGTACTGCTCCCTCGATTACGCTCCGTTCAGGGATAAATCCTCATTGTAATGCAAAATAACTAATTTCTTTAGAATTGTGTCTTACGTCGAATATGAAATGCAAAACTGTGGCATCCATCACTGAACATCAATTTGCATATTTTTATACAGAGAAACATCCAGTGTGTATTTCAGTGAGTACAAGATAATGTTTTAATCTTTATGGAGGAATCTCAGAATACTAGTTATTTGTTGTTCGTAAATTTTATGTTTCGAGTTTATGGGATTTTTTAATAACCATCCAGTGAGTAATAATTTGAACATTTATAGACGGATGATAAGGGAGTTTTCAATACGAGCTTATCGGCGGAGTTTCAACTCGCTGGTAAACACTTTGGCCTAGATAACGAGGAGCTGAAGGATTTGTCCTTGTCTGCTGTTGAATACTCATTCGCTACGAATGAGGAAAAATGCAAACTATCGGAGAAGATTAGATTATTCTCTTGTTCCAAATGACTGTGATTGAAACTGCGTTAAAAATATTCAGCTTGGAATTGTAATGGCTATTTTTCTACTTTGAAATACACAACTCATTTGTCGATTGTTGTTGTTTTTTTTATTAATAATCGTGAGACACGTTTACATAGATTTACAGATGATAACTAAGCAGCTACCTTAACTGAGAAAATTGAAAGTAAACGTACAGTAGTTAAATGTCATCAGAATTCTCGTATCTATTCATTTTTTCATCATTACAATGAAGTCATATATTTACACAACATTTATTTTATCTTATAATTTCCCTCTAACTGCGGTACAATTGCAATTTTCAATGATCAAAATGTCATCGTTTCGCCTTATTTCTTCTTTAACTAAGCGCCGCGGGCGTTACTGACACACGTAAGAGGATAAGTGGCCCTTACACCTTTACTAAAATACAAAGAATGCCTGTCAATCGAATCACAATCGAGCCTGACAAGAATATTCCTCTTCATCTATTTAAATATTGCGTTTCACAGCGAATTTTCTTCCTCGTTTATCACGTAAACGAGAATTTCTTTTATTTATAAATTACATGAATTATTCAAATATCTCAGTGAATTTTATTTTATTGGGGAAAAAATCATATGGAGCGTAGATACAGCACCAATTGATGGACAAATAATTTCAAATACATTTGAAAAATCAATCACACGCGCAACAATTCCATCATAATTGAATAAATCGCAATAAATTTATGAATTTTCAATTTTGTAACTAAAAACAATCCCTCCTATCATAAATTTTCAGAATCATTAAAATAACTGAACGAAAGGAGATTCAATTTTACATCGATAATCAATTCAATACAACGAGAAAACATAAGAGTAACAGCGACAATAATACCTAATGAATTTTTTCTCAAAGAGCGACGCAATTAATAATTAGTGATGTCAATAATGTTTCACAGTGAGAAATTGTTTCTAGAGTAATTATTCATCCTATATAACAGTCTTTTTGGCTAAACTCATCTCGAAAAAGCATCTATCCACACGAGAAACTCTCCTATATTCACTTACCCCTCAAAATAATCGAAAATTAAAGAAATAAAACGAGAAAAAATACAATAAAAATTGCGTTTTCGGATTTTTTGGATCGTAGTGAGTTGATATAACGCAACAAATCTAAAGTCAAATTTGGACGATTACAAAGCTTCCATTCGGAAGCAAAAAAAAATATTCCCTCACTTTACACTTGTGAAACTACGCAACTTGTTCAAAGTTCTCAACGGCCACTGTTATTTGTTACACACTAATATCTTACTGTCGCTACACATATAATCCTACAATCTATGACTATAAAAAAGAAGAATAAACTGAATCTGATGCATTTATTTATTTTCATTTTCAGCAATGAACCATTGCTTTATTTTCCTCATTTCAACATTTTATTAATCCAAATATCTTTCGAGCATTACATCTACATTACGTGATGATAATTATATTCTATTTTTGTATCTTGTGACGTATTTATTTATTTCCATCGTTGACAACGAATGATCAACGAGATTATCATCAATCTCCACCGCAACGAGGAAATTCATCATAGCCCTTCCTGCATTTCTCTTACTTTTACATATGTGCGAATTCATTCGAAATTACAATCACGAATCAATAATTTCGATTGTGAAATCTTGCATTTTTGTTTACGTAGAAAAAGAAAAATTCTATAATCATTCATTATGCTCTCTGCGGACGTCCCTCTCCAATTAATTATATACTTGTTTTTCCACTAAACTCTATGAATATTTCGATGACTGTATGTACAATTTTTTATCAAACAGACAAGATTACAAACAATGAATAAAAAATATCATTGTTCACTGTTCAATGATTCTCATCGTCTCCATCAATAATAATAATAAACTGTTGGTCGAAGGTAGAAAGAATGTACAATTATTAAAAGTGAATAAAATGCTATAAAATATATATAATGATGTGTGGGAGAATGAGACGTTGATACACGATCAAATGCGATTTAATCCACGAAAACTGACATTACTTCTCTCATGAGCATCTAACAATTACTGAGAATATAATAAATAAGTTAAGATGGTTTTTAAAATTCTTTTGATTCGGCGGTACAGCTTAAAAGATTGAACATGAAGAAAACTCGGATAACAATTCCGTAGTTTTAATACTATATTGAATGTTACTCTCATTCAAGAAAACCCTCCACCCTCAGTTTCCCAAAATTTGTGCCACTAAGCACAAAACAAATTACAGGCTAATCAATAGAACCCGATTGAGTCGAATCTTCTTGAACGAGAGGATCGCAAGGCGTGATAGCGACGAAAAAAAAATTTTCAACTCTGTTATTTGCCCTTCGATTGCACGCAGAGAAAAAATAAACCAACATTCACACAATGTAAATTCACACGGCAATCACCCAACCACAAACGTCGTAGCCCACACAAAAGATCATTGAATGCTTAGAAAAGAAGGAGTACATACATCGTGAATGAAATAATCCTAAAACTCACTAGTCATTCGAATAACATCACTCTCATGGGATAATCTAGAAAAAAAACAGTATCAATCAGCTGAAACATCGGCCACGCTCGTTCGTTACTTAATAATCATTACACAGATGCACTTAAACGTAAAATTGAAGTCAGTTTTGTATGAATATACCCGTTTTCATAAAAAAAATGAACAAATTCACGATACAATACTCCTCGCTGGCTTGGTATTATTATTCGTTGCATTCGAATTTCTATTGTGTGACTGGGCGAATAAAACTCCCTCATACATAACGCCATTTAATTCCATACTGACAACTAGCGAATTATCCCCATTTCTGCCGTCTCCCCTGTTCGATATTTTTATGTGTGTACCAGGTAATGAGGGTGCATTTTTCTCATGAGTTGACTCGTCGTCTGAGAGAGATCTCTTGGGTAGTGGTGGGCCAGTGTTGCCCGTCAATTCCGAGTCCTTCTTTACCCTCATACTGCCACCAGACGACTGGGGACTGTGTCTCGTTGGTGATGAAGACAGTGGTGATGATCTCAAGCCAAGATCGAGGGCCTCTCTCTGGGGCTCGGGACTCGATGCCTGGGGATTTGGTGAGTGCGAGGGCTGTGGCGATACTGGCGGTTGATGCATATTTGGATACAGTGTATTATTGTTGTATAAATTCCATAATGTGAGTCGTGACATCTCCGCCATGGCAGTGTCTCGTGGAGGTGTGCTCGATGGCGGCGATGCACTTCCTTGTCTGTGAATTGGTGGTGGTGTACTTGCCCCAGAATTTCGAAACTCTTTGTTGAATAGCTTTATGTACTCGGCCATTCGTGCCTCCAGTTCAGCGGCAGCCAGCCCCGGTATTGGACCTGCAAAATTGAATAACAGTGATTAATTTCGATCATTTAATGGGCTTATGAGAGTTGAATTTATTTAGAGGGTGTTGTGAACAGCCGTCGCCAAAAGGAGAGAGTGTAATTAACGTTATTTTGATACATGTATGTGGACGTGTGCACTTTGTCGATTCTAGCTTCCGAAATATTCACGTTTTTATCTCAGCAAGTCCCATTCACATCAATGTTGATTTGCTTTTTTCATCTTTTTCAGCGACGTCATTTGTGACCGTGAGGATCACTTTGAGCTCAAAATGTGCGAAATGCTATCAATGTTATCAGAGTATCCATAACTCCATAAGACCAGTTAATATCATGCAAATGTCCGTTATTAAATTAATTATTAATCAATTTTTCTAATTTTTAAATAATTCATCAATCAATAATTGAGGCAGATTGCGGATTATTTCGTTAATCGAAAATCGTCGTGAGAAAGTTGAAAAGATTTGCTTAATAATCAATCGACAACTCAAATTATTGATTATTTCATTAATTTCCAATTTCCAAACAAGATTAATCAAATTTAGTAATTTAGGAATGATTTTTTCTAATATCCTTAAAAAGTCATATTATTGACGATCCGTGATCCTGAAATTCGTTAGCAAAATTTCCGAAGTGCATTTACGGGATTTTTGGAATATTTTTCACTTGAAGAGTATACTTCTTTCTCGCTGTAATGAGCCCAGACTGAGCTCGATTGATCAATTGGTTCCTGAATTATGAATATTAATTTGGAACGACTTTTCGACTCAAAATCACTCCCGAAATTCACCCCAAAAATTTCCTACCGAGTTTAGGAAGACCCTGCAGAGATAAAAGATGATTATTTCTACGTTTTCGGGGAGTTTTTTCTTTTTCATTTTTTCGGTGGATGAGGACTATGAAATTGGGTTCACATTTGGTGGAGAGCTGCGGGAGAGGGAATGGAGAGAGGGGGGAGGGGGATAGGAATGCTCGTTAGCGAGAGTCATCCGTTAACGCCTGTCTCACGGTGGATCGTACAATCAATTACGCCTCTGCCTCTCGCATCATCATCTTCGGGGAGGCACTGAGACCCCTTCTAACTATCGATTTAAAATAAACCCACTGCACCCCTCGCACCCCTCCAGTCTGAGTCAAGTTTTTTTTTTTCTAATGGATTATTTCCTGGATTTTTCAAAAGGGACAATTCCAAGAGGAAATGACAATTTTTTTAGTGAATGAAAATTGTGAAGAGAATTGGAGACGTGAATTACCATTTGGTAGTTGTCCCAAACCCTGGGGGTGATGTGGATGGTGCGTCAGGGGGGTATGTGCTGTGCTTCCATTCAGCAGTGATTGTGAACCATGATGCTGACCTCCTACTGCTGTAACCAGTGATAATGGTGACATTCCGGCATGCAAGGCAAGTGAACTTGGTGTGTGGGAATTTCTCTGCATCATATTGTCACCCCCACCTCCGCCGTATGCACCGTAACTACTGCGACGTCCCTCGCGTCTGTTTCCGTCAATTGCTGCTTGGAGTTCGGCTGGGGTGGACAGTCTTCGTTTCTCACACTCGTAGGGGTACAGATATTTCATGTATCTGGAATGAGAACAATTATTTCATTCATTATTGTCATCATTTGCGATAGGTATTTGTTTATAATGATTATTTCAGTAGCGAAGTGGTAAAACGGTTCAAGTCGACTTATCTCCCATTTGAGTTTTTAAGGAATATTTCCGAATCTAAGGGAGATAGCGGAATTTTTGTAACTACATTTGTTGTAGCTCTCAAGCGGGTCTACAAAAAATGTTGTAATAAAAATTTTGCTATCTCCCTTAGATTCCGAGATATTCATTGAAAACTGGTCAATAGTCAAAATTGACTTATACCGTTTCACCACTTCGCTACTGATTTTTCCCAGTCGGATTTCGACCAGTCAGAGCGCAATGTGTGAGGCTACCCGACAGTTTTATTTCGGATGTTTCCTCGTGCTTCAAAATTGTCTAAAATTTTACTCAAGTTTTACTCTATTTTAGCATATTAATAATTATTGAACATCAAGTTCTTTCATTTCAAGTCTGTATTTTGGTCGAATAGAGTTAATCAACTAAATTAATCAAGAATTATCAAGGCCACGTAATGAATATAGGAGTCCTCTCAGTCCCAGGATAAAAATCTCTATGAATATCGCGAAAAATCCATGAATTCCCAAAAATTATAATTCAAGTTGAGCCAAAAAATGTTCCTTCCCTAAAATAACAATTTTATCATCTCGCCATAGTCAGTAACCCCTCAATAAACTATTACGAACAAACTGGAGTTAATAAAACCACTGTAACCGAAACATGGTATCATCATAAGCAGTAAAAAAATAAAATGTGAAATAGTATCCGCACACTTGCCCCATACCAATCAAACCTGCCATAATCTTGGACCATCAATGTCTCGCCTGTACGTAGAATTCAAAAGTTACGACCATCATTTTTCGCGGTTATCTCGACGTCGATACATAATGCATAAATATAATTTTTCCCCTCAACTTGTCCTTTTTGTCCTTAACTTTTATTTCACCGGCATTTTTTGGTTCAAAGTATCGATTGTAGCCGCGAGGGGTTGTTGTCCAGTGTATACTGTTGGGGGGCGCGGAGGGAGGGGGCACGGTATCAAGACCACGGTAAAAGTTATATTCCTTTCTTTCGTCCTTCACTGGGATCCGTTGAAGAAGAATACACTCAACTGGTGTTTCTCTCATACCGCAGCCTATAATTCGCGCGGGGATCGTTCGGATTTTTACGATTGTCTGGGGGCCCCGTGCAGACGAAAACTATTGGGATATTTCTCTCACTCTTACCGTGGAGTTACATACGAGCAAGATACAACGCGTGTCGATGCCAAAAACGAACTGACGTAAATCTTTGGGGGGGTTCCAAGCGGGGTGTTAATCAAATTCGAAGGAGAAAACGCTGAACGATATATTATGCCCGATCCTTGATGAGACGTGAATGTAAAATAAGAAGAAAAAAAAGCGAGATATGAAATTGGAGAAAGATGGAGGGAAACATCAAAGGAAATTCAATCCTGGAATTCGTGTTATTTCAATTTTTACCACTGAAAAATGTTTAGACAGCGTTATCATGATTATCGGGAAATGGGCAGAGTTGTACGGCAGCATAAGCTGCTACCAGTGTTTGTATACTCTGGGAGACGGCGGCTCGTATCATAAGCGGCTGCTCCCCCAGGGTTTTTCGGTTGAAACGAAAATATACGAATCCGTATTGCCCTGGTGATCTCGTTGGATGCCAAGTACAAAAGGAATTAGAGATGAAGAAGAGGCGCATTCAGTATCAAAAGGCTTGTTCTTTGTAATTCTCGGTAGCGTGAGTGGGCATCGTTAATTTCCCCGGAATCAACACAAATAAAGATGAGAAAATTTGCCTTTCAGTTTGATATTTTGTGGTGATGCTCGTGAATGAGTGTTTGAAAGGTGAGAATTTATTTGATCCTTTGTTCTTTCATCCTCTGGCTTATTGAATCAAGCATTTAGATGAAAAAATTCACGGAAATTGACTATTCATTATAATTCTTCAATTACCCGTTAAAATGTCAGATTTTTAATTTTTAAATTGAAGAATCGAATCATGTAAATTAGGGTTGTAAAAAATCTCAATTATCGTTGTGACATTTAATTTGAAATTTAAGTTTTTTAACGTAGGTGTATCTCTATGCATATTTAATATCCGTTTGAATCGAAAATAGCAAATTAAATTGATTTTAAATATACGTCACAACACACCGAGGATGACGGACGCATCCAAATAGATTACCCCGGCGATAGGATTGAGAGGTGT